CAATAATAACAATAATAATAATAATAATAATAATAACAATAATAATAATAATAATAATAACAATAATAATAATATTAACAATAATAATAATAATAATAATAACAATAATAATACTGTATGATTGTCTAAAATGCTAGCTGAGACCTGAGTATTAGGTGAATTAATGCGTTTATTAATGATGACACTTTGATGAAAATATTAAATTAGTGAAACGAGGAGTAGTAACAAAAAACAATAAAACTAATAAAATGTAATTTCAAGAATCATGAGTGTGAATGTATTGAACCACCATGGACGAGGATCATTCTGACCCTGTCCTGTTAAATAGTTAAATACTTAATTTACATTTACAAATTTGTTTGATAATAACTCAGATTTGACAAGGTATATAAAAGAGAAGGTATGAAACACACTGAAACAGATTGAAGAGCTTGTTTTCAAATTAAGCTCACAGCTGGCTCCAATAAAACCAGAAACATAATAAATGAACTGTTGTAAGTTTATCACACGTCCATGAGTACCTCTGCTTCACAGGACCTGCAGCTTCAGTCTCATTCACCATCCACACTGCTCCACCTCAGTCTGCAGTCAAAATGAGCCTCTTGCTGGTTCTAGTGTTAATCACTTTCATGTGATTAACACAGGATTTGTTCATGGGCACTCTGGGAGTTATTGTTGCACAGGTATTTACTCTGATGTGTCCTGGGCATTGGTACAGGCTGAAAAACGGCATTAACTGAAATACTTTATACAACTTTGAGCAAATGGGTTACTATTTATACATGCAGCAGACATACAGGAACGAAAGTTTTATGCTGAGGTTAAAATAACAAAACTGTATTTATTTGTGTCTTATTCATTCATTCATTCATTCATTTATTTATAAAGCACATTTAATAACAACAGGAGCTGACCAAAGTGCTGTACAAAATAACAATTAAACAATGACATTAACAACAACAACAACAACAGGTAAACAAATTAAAAGAAAATTAGAATAAAAGAATCGGTAACTCTCATACAGTTTCGAAAACCAGAGTAAAAAAATATGTTTTAAGATGCGATTTAAAAAGAGTGACAGTCGGGGCCTTTCTAAGGTGGAGAGGTCATTCCACATTTTCGGTGCCACAACCGCAAATGATCTCCTCTATGAACCATCCTAGGGTAAGGAGATGATCACTTGATCGAAGGGCTCTTATGCAAAACTCAGATGTCCAGTGACCATTGCTCAATTACAGCCATTGCTAAACTGAAACTGAATGACTCTCCATCACCTGCCTGTGAGTTTTATTTCAGTTATCAGTTTTAATCCATCATAATTCTGTTTGTTTGGCGATTCTGTTTTTATGCTGACAGCATATAAACAGCATTTTGTCCTGGTGTAGAGACCTGAGTAAATCTGGTCTTTAGAGTGCCCCGATCATGAAAACACTAATTAGAATCAATTCTATACCTTACAATATAGGAAATTAACTGTTGATATAGCACCTTATTTTGAAGAAACTGACTCTGTGTAATGGACAGAGAAGTAGCTTCACACATGGACAACAGTAATCACTTGAAACCGCTCGGCCTGTCAAGCAAGTACATTTTAATTAGCTGCACTATACCATCATGATAACCTGCTGAAGTTCATCAAAACTGGTGCAGAGGTCAAATTAAATTGCAACATAGACAAGATGGCTATAGCGACTATGACATTACCCTTTGGTTTAGGAGTCTGAGTATCTGCGTCTTTGCTGTCACCACTGAAAAGCCTTAACTGGCCTGTGAAGCTTGGTTAGCAAGCTGTATTCATAAACTATACAGATACAAACCCAAGAACCAAGACTAAGTGCTGCTATTTTCCTTCACCAACACTAAAACTACAGCCTGGCTGTAGCACACAGCAGGCTGTTTTATCTTTCACAAAACGCGTAAGGCAATAAAAGTAGCCACGCATCTCATCTGCCCAGTATTGAAATGGATTCATTTTGTCTTTTTTAAGTGACCTTTTTATAGTTGTTATGAAGTGAGAAGCCACCCATAGAAACCAAAATAGTGTTTTGAACTAGTCTGCAAATATGTATTTTAACAATGAAGACTGGCTCTAAGTTACTGCATTACTTTGCTACACCCCAGATGTCGTCACTAGGACGTCTAGCTGTAAATCCAGCTCTCCCATAGCAGGATACTAATGCTTGCACATCTGGACTGGAGGTGTGTGGGCTTGGGTGTGTGTATTTGTTTGCAGGAAGAAAAGTGTAAATGTGCAAGGGTGAGCGGTGCACTGAGTGATGCATACACACGGTGGCACACATACCAAACCCTCTAATCAGGTATGTTTCCTGTTGGCCAGGCTGATGAATTAGAGAGCCCTAAATGTTAATCTGTCTGATCTGGTGTTTGTGTGCGCTCACATGGGTGACCTGTATGTTTGATCTTAAGCTTATGCAGATCTTATACACGTGCATGTAAGTGACAAAGATTTAGATAACAGGGACGAGCACGCCTGGAATGCTGAGGTGAGTGTCGCCACGGGAGACAGGCCTCACAGTGAGAGGAATCAAGGGAATGTGAAACCGTCTCTTCACATATGCCCCAAGCACTCTAATTGCCGGTTATTCTGTTTCTGAGGATTATGTCCATACGAGGCAGAGCAGTGAGCCGTGGTGGGCAGAGTCTGGATCAAATCAAGTCAAATTAACACCGTGTCAGGATCACAAGTACCTCTCCTCCTCATTTTAAGTGGCGAATTAACCAGGAACACACAGGGCAGACAAATGGGATGAAGATGGAGGTTGAGACATTAAAACAAGATAACTGCAATTTGGATCAGGTTCATCTGCACTTAAGGCTAAATATTGCAGTGTGTGTTCAGAACGCTTGCCGTTAAATATAATATACTACACATTTAGGATTTTTAGTGTCTCTGGGAAGGATTTGAAAGAATAAAACTTGAATGAAAAGTGCAGCAGTGTGTTTTGTGTTGTTTTCTATCTCTCTCACTCTCCACGTACAGCATTTATTAATATACTATTCCTGTCTGTCTCTGTCAGAGCAAGGCTCAGGAAGTTATCTGAACCTAACGGACTTAATTGGCTTCCCCCTCCCTCCCTCTGTGTCCTTCACTGCTGGCTTTGAGGGTCATCCAGCCTACAAATTTGGGTCTCAAGCCAATGTCGGCCGACTCACCAAAACCTTTGTGCCGGGATCGTTCTACCGGGACTTTGCTATCATCGTCACGGTAACCCTACAATCTTCTAGCCTCCTTGATTGTCAACATGCTCAGTTGTCATAACTAAAGATATGACGGTTTATGAGGGCGAATGCCTCCTTGTGTCATCACAGTGTGAAATGTCGACATTAAAGCAAGACTCATATGTTTGTCCCTGTCTAAAAACTGTGAATACAGAAAAGTATCTCTTTAATGTTTTCATATACTCACTTATGACTGAATTTGTGTGAAAGGGATGTGAAAGCAAAAGCTTTAAGTCTTTTTTTTCCTCACACCATCGTATTATTCCAGGTGCGCCCAGCTAGCCAGAGAGGTGGCATGCTCTTTGCCATCACAGATGCCCAACGCAAGGTGGTGAAGCTGGGTTTGGCCCTCACTCCAGTTCGCGAGGGCCTCCAGAGCATCTTACTGTACTACACTGACCAGGAGCAGGCCTCCCACAGCCACAAAGCGGCTGCCTTTAGCGTCCCGGATATGACTGACCAGTGGACACGATTCACGGTGAGCTTCATCCAGGTTAACGACAAAAGATAAAAAGACTCTTCCACTAAGATGAGTGGTTTAACTTTGTCCAAGTCATTGTGGACTGACGTCTGTTGTCTCTGCCTGTCAGGTGGTGGTGGAGCATAATGAGGTCCGTCTCTACTTGGACTGTGGAGAGGCCGAGAGTAAGGACTTCCATCGTAGGCCAGAGAAACTCACCTTTTCACACAATTCAGGCATTTTTGTAGCTAATGCAGGAAGCACGGGGCTTGACAAGTTTGTGGTAAGTGAAAGTTTAATATTAATGTGGTAACCGAAAATGAGAGAAAGAACGAGAGAAAGAACTATATATTTTCTTCTTTTTTTCACATTTAACTATCCAGTACTCTAAATAAATCTGTCTCTAAATAAAGACCCCATATCGATTTTGATGGTAAGAAAGGGAAGCAAAAACTTCCACTGACCAAACAGAAAATGTTTGAAAAATCTGCCTGATTTGAGATGGAAAGACCTAAAAGTAATTAATTTTATGCTGTTTTTCATTGGTTTGGTTTTCTCACACACTTATAGAGTGAACTGTTCTTGTCTCTCTTTGGGAGACTTTTCTTAATCATAGCGTCAAGATGTTTGGCCAGTTTTTATTTATTTAGGACAGTTTCCACATCCTAATGCAAAATGAATACACGTTTTTCTGGACTGGATAAGAATACAGCCAGGCCTACAGATCACACACAGAGAGGAAGTGAGAGGGGAGGATACATGGGGGAGTAAATCAACTGCAGATGAGGAAGTTGAAGATATCAACATGGCTTGGTTGTGGTGTGATCAAAGGCAGACCGTGGAGTGCTGCATCGTGATAGGGCACAAATGCAAACTTGATGTCATTTGTCATTCAGGAAAACAACAAAACAAAAATGTTTGTGTGCTTGTCATTGAAACAAATGTCTGTGCAATGTCAACTCCGACGTTTCCCGATTGAATACATGACGTTCTTTGGCCAAAAGGAATGAAAATATCTTACAAAAGCCACTTTGACACATGACTTCTTTTCCATCTCAACTATCTCCACACAAAAAGAAAAGATAAAAAATAAAAGAAATACGAGCTGGGAGCAAATTGCTGTTGCTGTGGTGAGACACCCTTATCACCTCACTCTGCTTCGTTCAGTGTAGCTTGACTGTCTGAACAGGTTATCTGAAGCATGATGGCAAAATATGTGCACGCTCAGCAGCAGTACGTGCACTCGAGCCCATCTGGGACACTGAGTGTGTGCGTGTGTGTGTGTGTGTGTGTGTGTGTGTGTGTGTGTGTGCCTATTACCTCACATTTTGCTGTGATACAGTGTGTTTGGTATCACTGTCAGACTTTCTAAGAGAGATCCACAGTCCTGAATAGAAGTGCTGTGACAGAAGAATAGAAGCTTTCATTTTTGTTAAATATTCCAAACACTGAAACTAAAGTTAATTTTTTAATGCTTCAGAATAACTTCCCAATTATATGTCAGAGGTATTTCAAGATGGCTGCTGAGTGGCAAGACAGAGTTTTTCCGCTGTCTATTCTAATTACAGCAACTGCATGTAAATGTGTCCCCACCTTTTAGACTGAGGATAGTCCATGAAACATTTTAATGGGGACTGTTTAAACAGATAGATCTGGATGACTCACAGCTCACAATAATCTCTGCTGATTCCTGCACAGTCCATCATTTCCTCCACTGTCTGAAACGAGCAACATTCCCTTTCAGCTAACTTTCCTCTCACTGGCTCTTTCATACAAAGAACATAATTTATTCCAGGTGGGCGGAGCTTTTATGCCCACAATCAGAGCTCTGTGTTTGAAATGACCACACGAGGAATCTCAGTGAGACTGTAAAGTAGAAAAAATCGGACTGCTTTCGGACACACGTGGATTACATCACTATTGAAACATAAAAAATACTGCTTCACGAGTAAAGTATTTGTTTACATAATACCTGATAAATGATATAATAATAATAATTAGCATTGACAGCACACTACACTTGGGATGCAAGTGTTATGCAGTGTTGTGCATAATGTACATATGTTGTGTACATTTCCAAATAGTTATGGACCTAACTGCATGTACAATGTAATCAGATGACAGTTATTATGTTGCCAACAAATCACACAAAGAAGTCTGTAGACCAGTAACTAGATGGACACTTGGAGTGCCTGCATCACGATTTTAAAGAAAGTGATCCAGTTCACACCAAAATGTGACGTGCTATCTTTTTGCCCTCATCTCAACTAAGATTCATCAATCTTAAGGCATAAGCCAGTGATTCCATGACCCATTTTTAATTAGATTGTTAGTCTTTCTCTTAAATGTAGCTCGAGTTACTACCTATGATGAATTATGAGAACACAGAGAAATGAGACTGAAAACATATCTAATGTTTGGTGGAGGAACTCTAACATGACACCTCCACAAAGGCAGCATCACTGCTTTGTTGTTTCATTTGTGTTATTATTTGGTCTTACCAGACTGATGCTGAGGACACAACGGAAGAACTAATTCTAGCACTGCTCAGACAGACAGAAGCCCAACGGTCACAGCAGTCACTGAACTCCCGTCAGTCAGCCAGCACAAGCCTTCCTCTCCATGCAGTGACATGTTTCACATTTCCTTTGTTTTTTCCTCTGCAGGGTTCGATTCAGCAGCTGGTCATAAAAGACGATCCAAGAGTGGCTGAGGAGCAGTGTGAAGACGATGATCCTTATGTGAGACACTCCGTAACTTGTTGCTGAAATGCAAACCTTTCTAACACAAAGCCACAGTCTGCCTAGCGATATTTTAAAATGCTGTAAAATCTTACATGTCAATCCACAGCTCCCCCTTGTGGTTAAAATTACTGGTTGTATGGATTTGTGCTAAAAGGGGTTGTTTTTTTTCACCAATGAATGCATAATATGACGTTTGATAAAGGCCTCGGGGTACGCCAGTGGAGACGAGGCTTTGGATGACAGAGAGACAGAGAAAGACCTGAGGAAGACCGCAGAGGTGAGAACGCCTGGCTCGGCACGGGTTGGCTGGTGATGGCTGGATGGATTACTTTAGTCCACTCGGTCCATCAGTGTGTGTGTGTGTGTGTGTGTGTGTGTGTGTGTGTGTGTGTGTGTGTGTGTTTAGACATCTTTGTGAGGAAAGAAAATTGGCATGCTACGATACTTGTGGGGACCAACAGTCACTGATGGGGACAAAATGCCGTCCCCACGGGTTTGAGGCATTTTTGAGGCTCAAAATGTGATTTTAGTGTCAGGGTTACAATTAGGTTATGGTTAGGTTTAGGGTAAGGGTTAGGATTAGCCATTCATTTTTATCGGTTAGGTTTGGGGTAAGCGGATAGGGAAAGCATTATGTCAATGAGATGCCCTCACTAAGATATGAAAATGTGTGTGTGCACGCCTGTGTGTGTGTGTGTGTGTGTGTGTCCACTTGTTTTGTCTGGAGCTTAAAACTAAAACTACACTCCATGTCTGTTTGCATATGTAAGAGTTCAACCCTATGCATTGTTTTGGTGCTGTCTTTCATCCTCCCACAACCTAAAAGTCAGTTTGACCCCAAACATCTCTGAATTAAAACGGACTTTGATGCTTCAAAGAAAACTGGCCTTAATAACATGTTACTACAGAATGGTGGAGTCATGGTAGACCCTTCTAGTCTGGCCTGGAGACACTATCAGCAGCAGGGTAGAAAAAGAGCATAACACGATGTTGGTCTTTTATTGTGTTGATGTTTAGTAATGCTCTTGTTTTGAAAAATAAAATCATTCATCAGAAGTATACTAAATGAAAAATCAAAGTGCTTTCTGTTAATAGTCTCATTCACCCAATTCAACCCCATTAACCATCCCTAAATGCAATCATACACTTCTTTCATCTGTACCAAAACCCTTTATCTAACTTTCACACGCATTCACACTTTTGCCTGAGGACACTTCAACACATGCACAGGAGGAACCAGAGAAAGGAGGACCTTCTAAGCTAATGTGAAAGAGCAGGTTGTCACACTTACAATGGTGGGACAAAGACATGGTGCACACACGAGACAGAATCACAGCCATTTGTGTCTCTTGCAAGGAGGAGGGTGTTCCCGTTAGTGCTCCGCCCACTGATGCTCCAGAGCAGTTTGAGGACTTTTCTCCTCACACGGGTCCAACAGAAGCCCGAGTGGACCTGATGACAGGTCTGTAGCACAAAGTTTTGTTCCTGTTTATTCTATGAAAGCTTCAGTATTTGAATTATGAACTAAACCTTTATCATATTTACTTTTCTAAATGTCCTCTCTCTATGATAACGTAAGCATACGCTGTCTGAAGTAAAACTGATAGACGTCATATGTTGTTTGCAGGGCTACACCGAACAGAGGAGGCGGGAGAGCAGCCACAGGGTGTAAGTTGGAGCGTGGGCTTTCTTGCCTAGTTGTCTTATTTTGAAGACAGTGTTGGTCAGAAGATAACAAATGTAGCTCCAGTGTTTCAGTTTATTTTCCCTACAGACACAAATAACTTAAAGACTTCTTGATTTCAATTTTAAAGGGTGATGTCAGGTTAAAAGGAGAGCGCGGTGATCCTGGCCCGCCTGGCCCACCTGGTCCACCAGGTCCTCCCAGTGTATTGAGAGAGACTAAGCTTGGAACATCTGGCCCACAGGGACCACCAGGATCTCCTGGGCTGCCAGGAAAAGATGGACACAAGGTTTGTGTGACAAAAAGAGGGTTTGTGTGTTTTTCCTTCACCATCTTTCGAAGAACATCGGAGGTTTTTTAAGTGAACTTTAAACTCACGAAGTAATAAGTCTTCTTGCACCACTGACTCTCATGCTTCCTCGTGCTTCTGCTTTCAGGGAAGCAGAGGCGATAAAGGAGGTCCAGTAAGTTAAACAGCACTATGTCTGCTTGTTTGTTTTTTTCTGTTTCAGTTGCTACGCTCACTAATTGTATTTTCATCGTCAGGGCCAAAAAGGGTCTCAAGGATTTCCAGGCTTGAACGGAGAAGTTGGAGCTAAAGGAGAGAAGGTCCAGCTAATGCATCCATGTTGCATTTAATTAACTGTTACTCTTTATTCCAAATGTAGTTTTATTTTATGATACCAAATGAAAAGAAAAAGTTCTGTCTTTTTCTTCTGTACTTTACTCCTCCCTGCCTCCTTACAGGGAGATCCGGGAGTTGGTTTACCAGGCCCCCCTGGCCTTCCTGGACCCCCTGGACCCCCCAGATCACGCAGTGTACCCGTGAGTAACAGTTTATGGTTTCGCTACTTCCTCCCAATATGTGTCTGCTCAGTATTGTCTTGCATTTTAGCAATGATATCAAATGTAGGCAGCATAAACGAGACATGAATACAAAGAAAAGCATCTTGATGAATGTGTTTTAGTATGGACCAGATGCCCTGGGTTCTGGGTTTGAAGACCTGGACAGCGATGCAGACCTCATCCAGGTAAGAGAAAGGACTAGTTAACAGATGCAAGAGTCTGACAGTCAATTATGGCAGTGAAAAAAAATCTAACATCTCCTTCCATTAGGGTCCTCCTGGTCCACCGGGCCCTCCAGGACCTCCTGGTCCCCCTGGACCCCACCTGTCCTCATCTGCCACCACTGAAGGACTTTCTCCTGGGCATGCTGGACCACCTGGTGCACCTGGCAGTGATGGCCTTCAAGGCAAACAAGGAGTACCAGTAAGTTAACCTTCAATTTAAGTGAAAAATAGATGATTTGTTTTAAATACAAAAATCTATGTAATACAGTATATACTGATGGGATTCTGCAGACTTATGCAACTGTCCAAACATGCATGGTCCTGTGTGGAAAAAGTAACGCAGTGAAGACGTGTTGTCTGTGGTGACACATCACACTTCTCCATCTAACAAACCTGTGGACAAATCCAGGTTTGGCAGTTGTAAGGATGGCGGTACTTGTCTGGGGCTGCTTTGATTTCCTGGACGACCATGAATTCTGCTCTCCACCATGAAAAAGAGAAATTTCTGGCCATCAGTTTATTCCCTGAAGCTCAAGCTCACTTGGTTATGCAGCAGGGCAGTTATCCAGAACACACCAGCAAGTCCACCTCTGAATTGCTCCAAAAAAAAAAGTTTCTGGAGTGGACTAGTCAAAGTTCAGAGTTAAATGTGCCTGAGATGCTTTGGCATGACCTCAAACAGGCTGTTCACACTCGAAAATCCTCCAGTGTGGATGAATTTAAATAACTCTACAAAGACGGGCGTGCCAAACAAAGAAATGCTCTATGGCAGTAATTGCAAACACTTGATTGCACTTCTTGCTGCCAAGAGCGGCACAACCAGTTGTTAGGTTTAGGGGGAAATTACTTTAACACACAGGACCTGGAAGACTTGGTTAGCTGTTTTCATTTAGTAAAGAAAGTAATTTAAAGCTGCATTTTGTATTTACTTAGGTTATCTTTGTCTAATTTTAAAATTTGTCTGATGATCTGAAGAACTTAAGAGTGACAAATATGCAGAAAATGAAGAAATCAGAAGATGCTGTATAGACACTGGACAGACACCTCTGTTAGTATAACAGTGCTACATCAGGAGACATTATTATAGCCTATAATATTTTTACATAATTGTTTTTTTCATATGTTCTGTTTTACTATATCTTGTACCTTCACATTTTATTTGGATTATTTCTCATTGAATTTTCCCCGAGCATTGACTTTTTTCTCCTTTTCCACCTTCCAGTCTTTGCTCTGATTTTATGTAGTGCAACAATTAGATTCCACCTTTATTTTATTTCTTAGATATTGTCATATTGTAGTGATTTGCATTTCTGTGTTTATATAAGCCAATGACCCATGTATACCAGCCGTTCTCTAACTGTCTCTCTCCATTTCATTGTCCTTTATCTCCATAACCAGTCTTTATTCGTACCTTTATTGTTCCTCCTTCTTATTCCTACCTGGAATCTCTCCTATTTGTTTCAGATGGTTGAGGATTGGTTTAGTGGTTCTGGGCCTGACGGTTCAGGTTTGAGCTCAGAGTTCTCCGCTGTCCTCACCTCAGACTTCGGCTCTAGTTCTGGTTCTGATTCTGACTTTGAGTCAGCATGGGGTTCAGGCGAGGTATACTGCCCAGTTTGCCTGGAAAACCAGCAAACAAAGAAAGGCAGAATTTCAGTCAGCGCTAGAGCATTGAGGTAGACAACATTTAGCTTTCACCGTGATAAAACGGTGTCAAAGCAATAAAGATGAACCTTAGCTAACTACCCTAATGCTCAGGCACAAATGACTGCACATTATCTCTAACTACGTTATCTTAACTGCTGGCTTGCTTGTGCCAAAGCTGAAGGTGATAATCGCTGTGCCATGAAACCCAAAGTGGTTCTTTTACTTTCAGTTCCAAAATTGTCATTGCCAAGGAAAAAAATCAACTTGACATTTTACTCTATATGATGACAAACAACTGAACTGAAAGGATCTGGCCACACTCTTATTGCTTATAACCTCATGCTTCTCTCACTGCACATGGTAAACGAACTGCTCTGCCTTTTGCACCAGTCACATTCATTTTTTACTTCTGTTGGCTGATTTTTCTCAGGGATATCAGGGATATATAACCCACTGTATATATATATCCCTGCGTCTGCTACTAAAGTTACAAATGGGCAATTTCTACATGAACCAAACAGTTGGGTAAGTAAAGATTTGTATGTGACAGTGCCACCAAGGTCACGTGACAAAAAGCTCTCAATATTATCAGTTAAACGAAATATCGTGGACTAGATTAATGTGCTGGATGGATGAACAAACAGAAATACACATTATAGCTTTAGTAGTAAGCAGTCTTCTCTTGGATCAGCTGTAAATACTCTATTGGCAGTGAGTGTTTTACCAATGAAGTCTGAGGTTTTATGGGTCCATCAGTGGGTTGGCACAGAAACACTGCTCTGAGTGGTGCTGCTTGATTAAAGGGATATACTGAATGTATCATCACTTCAGCTTGCTGTTAGGTGATGAAAAAAGAGGCGATAAAATCATCCTCGCCTATATGGTTGATGACATCGATCCTTCACGCTACAGCACATTTAGCTAAATGGCAAACAGTCACAAGCACCTTGATTGAAAATTGTTCAATTTATTTGTATGTTGCTGCTTTGAATTGTTTGTGCCAGTTGGACAAATAAGAGGCAATGATATAAACAGCCATTTACCATTGTCTGCGTTAAAGCAGAACGTTTCGTATTGAGGTTAAAATCATCATTTAGTGCAGAGCAGTGTTGGCATGGATGATATTATCATTTAAGGAAGCTGAAGAATCGAACAGCTTCCAAACATTCATGTATTCCTTTAAGGTGACGAGGGTCACAGTTGCACTCTGGATTGTTCCTGTTGGAACAGCCAAAGTGTGATGACTTACCACAGTTTTATTTCTCTACACTCTGCATGTGTCTTTCTATATTTCCAGGGTCCAGCAGGAAAAGCTGGTCCTCCAGGTTCACCTGGGGCTGCAGGCGAGAAGGTATGAACACCAAGAGCTAAAAGAAAAGACATCTAACCTTATTGCCAAACTTCTGCACATTTTTAGTGTAGACAGTCTTTATTAGTAATGATAGGTAACTAAAGTATATTAACTCCTTTACTTCCTTTAGGGTGAGCAAGGCCTACCTGGGCCTCCTGGGCCAAAGGTAATTTATACTACTCAAAACAGAGTCATACCTGTAAATGGCATCCTGTTCACATCGTTTGGTAGCCCACAAATAAATGCATTTCCTGTTCTTGTTGTTACTAATGAAAGTCTCCTGTTTGTCTGAGAAGGGTGAAAGTGGGTCAACGGGTGTCCAAGGAATTCCAGGGCCTCAAGGGCCTATTGGTCCAGAAGGAAAGAGAGGCCTTCCAGGCCCACCAGGACGTCCTGGCCCACCAGGGCCTCCAGGAACCAAATTCTTTGCAGAGGTGACCCAACCCAGTTTATTAATGACCTGTCCTCCACATAGCACTGCTACTATATAGCCTCATATAGATTAACGAGAGGAAAATGAGAATTGCAGTAGAAAACATTAAAAGGTCGTGTCTTTTTGATCACATTGAAGCTCAATAACTGTAGACCGTGGCTTCGTTTTCAGGATATGGAGGGATCTGGCATGACTGATCAGATTACTGGAGTCAGAGGCCCACAGGTCAGTGTGAGGGGATATATGAGTTTATGTACAGTATATCTATTGATTCATATAAAGTAATGCATCCTTTTTGTTCTTTTAAGGGTCCACCTGGCCCTCCAGGACCACAGGTAATCTGTGTATGAATTTTCAACAAATTTACAGATAGCTACAATGACATGTTTAACAACTAATACTCGACATCTGGTTACTCTTTGAGTAGGGTGCTCTTGCTGAACATACTTGTTTGTGTTTTCTGTAGGGTAGGGATGGAGCACCAGGAGCTCCAGGGCTCTCTGTCAAGGTAAATTCATTTTGGAATGACACAACTTCTATGTTTCTGATATGCAGTATCAATTATCATTCACTTATTGTTTATATTTAGTGGCCAACAGGTTGTGTATTTTATGACCTAGTTGAGAACTATTGAGCTAAAGTGTTTTTGGTCATTGATGAAACAGCCTAGTTCATCTATGTGAACTTAGCTTTCTCTAATCATTGGAATGCATGTTATATTTCACGTGAGCCACACATTACGTTAGAGTGAAATCACCATCACTCTTTGCAGCTTTTTTATTACCTCATTTTCTGATGTGTCTGATGGCAGGGTGAACCAGGAGAACCAGGACCAGAGGGTCTCCGGGGTCCTGCTGGACTACCAGGTCCTAGGGTAAGTAGCAGTGTTAGATGGCTGAGGTGGTTGGCAGTTCAAAAGTAGTTAGCAGCAAAAAAAACCAAATACTGCACACTGCAAAAATGATAAAGACAAAAAAAGGCTCTAGTCTAAAATCTTCCAGAACAGGCACCTTGTCTAAATATTGCAAAAAGCTATGTTATATATCTATAATTAATTTATTTGCCAACATTTTAGGAAACATTTTTTTACAGATAAAATGTCTGAATCTCCGTGGTAAAAACCCAACTGCAAAAAAGTTGTGATTCTGTGTAAAATGTAAATAAAAAGTGAATCCATATGAAATGCTAAAATGAGAAATTGTTACATTTCAGCAACAATATTAGCTCATTTTCAATTTCATGGCTGCAACTCATCTGAAAAAAGCTGGGACAGTGTCACGTTTACAGCTGTGTGCCACCCCCTTTTCTTGTGATGTCCGAGGAGCAGCTCGTTTGGCTGGAGGTTGTTGTTCATGACTGATGTGGGATTTTAGCTGCTATTTGTTGCATTTTTCTTTTTCTGAGGCACAAAATGTTTTCAGTTGGTGAAAGGTCTGGATTGCAGACAGTACGGTTCAGCATCTGGACTCTGCTACTATGAAACCAAGCTGCTGTAATAGCTGCAGTATGGTATTTAGCATTGTCTTTGCTGAAATGTTCAAGGACCTCCCTGAGAAAGGTGACTTGGAAGTTGCTCTAAAGCCTCTCAGCATTGATGATGCCTTAATAAATGTACCAATTCCATAGCAACCGATGCACCCTTGTACCAGACATGCAAGCTTTGTGTGGCGACAATAACTAAGACGATCCTCTTTAGCCTGGAGGACATGCTGTATGTTTTCCAACAACTCTCCCTCCACTCCCACTTTCATGCAGTGCTTGCTCACAGGGTGTCATCTGAGTGGCGGGGTAATATTGTAGGGTCACTGTTGTTGTGATTTATATAAATAAAATCGAATGCATTGAAATTAATTCGCACTATTCACTTATTCACTGTGCAACATTTTCTTCCTCTTTACAAACAGGGGGCCAAAGGAGAGAAAGGCGGTCCAGGACCCAAGGTAGGATCGGAAGATGTGATTTGTTGTATCATTTTCATTTCATCTTTCTGTTTTGTTGCTTCCTCTCATGTCTTCCAAATACCACGTTTGTTTCTAAATGTCTCTTTTTGGTAGGGGACTAATGATTTTGCATTATGTGAATTGCAGGGTGAAAGAGGAGCTGATGGCCTCAGTATCCAAGGACCACCTGGGCCTCCTGGGGCTCCTGGACCTGTCATTAATGTACATGATGTACGCACATACACACAACATGACATTTAATTGAATGAAGACTTAAGATGGAGGCAGACCAACAAACAACTGTGTGGTCGTAGTGGTAGCTGTGCAGACATGCTGCTTTTTCCATATCTCTGAATATACTAAAGGTGCCCTAATGTGATCATTATATCTTCTGTCTACAGCTGCTCTATAATGTCACAGAGGGTATCTTCAACGTCACAGAGATCAGAGGACCACCCGGGCCTACGGTGCGTAGCTTCAAGTGAACTACAGTGTGTTTTAGGTTCTTTGTTGTTCCGCTCCATCGTGGAGTATGGATGAAGGGGGTCGTAAATGAACTGATATTAAGACTCTTGCTGCAGCTGCAGGTGTGTTTGGTGAGCTTTTGCTTATGTGTATGCTTTTCTCTGCATGTGTGTGTGTGTCTGCATGCTGCAGGGTCCTGAGGGATTGCCTGGCAGAGCTGGATTTCCCGTAAGAACATTTTGCTACACCGCTTTTTGTCCCAAATGATTAAATTCAGGAAAACTGGATGTAAATATTTATGTGATTATTCTGGATTCTTTTTCTTTTGCTGTCTTTTGGCTAAATGGGGTAGGTACCAGAGAAATCTTTAAACACACGGTTTCATTACAACCTTTTCTTAATCTTCCAACTTTCATCTCTTCCTAGGGCCCCAGGGGACCAAAGGGAGACATGGGACCTACAGGTATCCAGGGCCCCGCAGGGCTTAAGGTAAGAACTGAATATGAAGATTCATAAAGCATGTTCATATACATTTCGATGCCTATGAAACAACCCTAAACACCTCTCCTCAACATAAACATACATTTAATTTTGACAGGGAGAGAAAGGAGAACCAGGGGTGACAATTGCTGCTGATGGATCTCTCCTGTCTGCACCAAGAGGCCCTCAAGGGCCCAAAGGCACAAAGGTAGCCAACAAGTGACCTTTTTACCCCTAAAAGACTTTCTATATATTTAGTTACTTTGTGGTGAAAGACTTTAATGTATTTAATAATCTGTATCTAATGCTGGAGCCAAATAATGTTTGGTCCCTGTACTAGTTTAAGTGAATTCCTGTTTATGCAGTTCCTATGCAAGAAACGTCTCCTGGATGCATTGGTACGCATGTATGTATCCTGGGGTCATCAGGTGTTTCGGGTCATCATACACCCGCGCCCAGGCGACCCAGCTGGGGGTGATCAGGCTCCGACTTGCATACCAATAGCTACCCGCGGATCAGCCCTTTTGATCTGCAGCCACCTTGTGGCTTTCTCTGCCGCTTCACTCACAGCCTGGATGGCCCTCTTCTTGGCTGCCTCAGCCACACCCACCTGGCCGAGGACTTTGCAGAGTGATCGTCCTACAAAGCCCCTTCATCCCACTTCTATGGGCTCATAGAATGTCTTCCAGCCTCTTCCCCTGCACTCCTGCACTAGTTCCTGGTACTTGGCACATTTCCTCTCATTGGCCTCCTCGATCCGCTCTTCCCATGGCACTGCGAGTTCCAGCATGATCAGATGTTTTGAGGCCTCAGAAGTGATGATCATGTCTGGCCAAAGGGATGTCTTTACTTAGAGAGGGGGGAAAGTCCAAGTTTACCAGCTTGTCTGGATCTATTTGCCTTATAGGCAAACTGGTGGGGGCGAAGCTGGGTGGGAGGCACTCCTTTATGTGTTTTAGGACCAGCTTCTCGAAGCACTTTGCAACCACTGGAGTCAGTCTGTAGTCACTGAGGCTACTGATGGTGGTGGACTTGGGGACTGGGACTATTGTTGATGATCTCAGGCAGTGAGGGACAGAGGCATGTGTCAGGGAGAGGTTGAATAGTCTGGTGAACACAGGAGCCAGCTGGTCGGCGCAGGCTTTGAGCACTCTAACACGTCGGGGCCAGCAGCTTTCCTCTGCTCTGAACACATTGCGGACCTGATGTTGTTGGAGGCTAAATGTGTGGGGGGCTGTGCTCAGAGGACGCCGTGGGCAGGGTGGGTGCATGGTGGGGGTGAATAGTCCAGTTTTGCTGCTCTGATGCCTTTTTTAAGGTCTGCCCTTGCTCTGCTGTACATGTCCTGGTCCCCAGATGTGTATGCAGAGTACAACAGTGCCTGAACCTTGCTTGTCATCCAGGGTTTACGGTTGGGGTAGACCCGGACCAGCTTTTCCGTGGTGACAGTGTCCATGCAGTGTTTGATGTAACCCAGCACTGCGGTTGTGTGAGTCTCTAGGTCATCCTGTTCAAAGACACTCCACTCTGTGAGAGCAAAACAGTCCTGCAATTGAGCGAGAGCTTCCTCAGAAATGGTGTTAATGGTTCTGATGGTGGGCTTTGTCCTTCTCCTGAGTGGTGTGTATGCCGGGACAACGAGTAGGGAGAGGTGGTCGGACATGCTCGGGTGGGGGAGGGGAACACATCTGTAGGCTTAATATTTGAGTAAACATGATCCAGGGTGTTATTTCCACTCGTAGGGCATTTCACATGTTGTACAAATTTAGGCAGCACAGTTCTTAAGCATGCTCTGTTGAAATCCCCTGCAATGATGTGTACTCCCTCTGGGTATGTCCGTTGCTGTTCGGAGATCATGTCGTGCAGGTGTGCAAGGGCTGAGCTAGCATTAGCGTCTGGTGGTATGTAGACTGCTGTTATTAGCACTGCAGGCAGTTCTCTGGGCAAGTAGAAAGGTTTGCACATGACAGACATTGCCTCTATGTCCGGGGAGCAGACTGTGGCGATGATCTTGGTGTTTGTGCACCAGTTGTTATGTGTGTAAATGCACAAACCTCCTCCTCTGCTTTTCCCCGCTGTAGACTTTCTGTTGCTCCGGTGCATTGTGAGGTCTGCTAGCTGCATTGAGGCATCAGGAATTCCCTCTCGTAGCCATGTCTCCATGAGGACCAGGATGTCGCAGACGATTGGCTGTGCGGCGAGAAGTGGGTTCAGTTCGTCTATTTTGTTGACGACCGACCGTGCATTGGTCAGGAAGATGCTCGGGAGCAGTGGTTTGAAAGGCTGCTTCTTTAGTCTGGCTAGCAGGCCCAACCGGCATCCCCGCTTTTGTTTGCGTTCCTTCCGCCGCCTGCGTTTCTTGGCAGAGCTGATAACAATCCACGGAGCGCCCGATGTTCTCGCTATCTCCGGGGGGATGTTGTGCATCCTCTGATAATCACTGGTAATGGGGATCTGGCTGTTATATCTGATCTTGCATGATTCCAGATGGTTGTAGGAAAACTTGGCTTTACAATAAGAAAAACAAAAGAAGAAGAAAAAGAGGAGAAACAAAAAAGAAAGGCACCTAAGTGGAGAGCATAGAGCCGCTGCATCTGTGCGCGCCGGCATCTTGTCCTATGTGCTGGAGGAACTTTAGCTGTTTACCCAGGTCAGCCCGTAGCTGCCAATCAGAGGCTGTGTTGAGGAGGCCGGTTGTTAACCGTGGACATGCCTGGGATTTCTCTCCAGCCTTAATGAAAGAGATTGCCTTCTTCGGAGCGTGATGGTGCTGGTGTTGATTGCTGAGGCAATCTGCTCAGCAACTACTCTGAGCACCTGGTCATGATGCTAATGATACCGAACATCAGCCAGGGCCGTCGGGCTGCTGCTGAGGAGGTGTTCTAAGGTGCCTCTTCCAGACCACAGCGGACAGGCAGATGTCTTGCTCTTCCCCCACACAAGGAGGTTTACTGGGCTTGGCAGGGTGTCGTATACTGCCTGCACGAGGAATCAGACACGGTGGAAGTCTGCCTGAATGATGTTTGCTCAGGTGACCTTGCACTGCAAGGTACTGTCTCACCTTGTCCACGCTCCCTGCCGCCTGAGTCCTACGGCCCTGCTTACTCGCTCATCCTCCTCACCTGCACGGACCTCTTCCTGGAGTAGCTGGTGTCTCTCCTTTCCCTGTGCCCTGCTGACCTGGGCCTTCGGAAGTACCCCAAGCCTGTTCTCCCTGTTGCTAAGACCCCCACCAGTGTCTTTTGTCTTATACGTGACTCTGCCACTTTAACTGCCTTCTCTGCCTTCCACTTTCCTTAAATGAACTATTAACATAGAATACTAACCTCGGTCCCTAAATAATGCAAGTCCTAGTTTTTGTTAACAAGGGTGCCATGAAGGTTGAAACTGAAATTTGCTCAAGGTATAAATAGGTCTAAGTGCTTTTAAGGACCTTTCATGGTGGCCACATTGGGTTTTTTAATGAAAAAGAATGACCTAGAATAACATCTTTGTTATTTTATAGAAAGAACTAGTCTGAAACTATGAAAGCAACCCACCGCTGTCATTACTTCCACCTATGTAATTCTCACATTTTGCTGCTTTACTGTGCACAGGGTGACCATGGCTTCCCAGGACCTACTGGACTTACGGTGAGTTTTATGAGAACATCACAGTAAGGAAATTCCTGCTACACATTCATCCTTTATGTATGTTATTACACTGAATATAAGTGTGTGTTTGTTTATTTCAGGGTCCAATAGGACCTCCTGGACAAAAAGGAGAATATGGTTTCCCCGGGCGACCAGTGAGTAATTTTGCATGTTTGATTATTAAGATATGAACGCCTCATCTATAGGTTAAAAGTGTTCTGAACTTGCACATGAAAGTCAAGGGAAACACAGAACCACTGAGTGGAATATACTTGCCAGTGATTAGCAGAACGATGTGTCATGTTTTTCAGCATACTGATTTTTTCCCTAACTAGTCATAATGGGAAATGACAAGCTGCTTGGTGGTTTTCTCCTTTCGATTCACTTTTAAATATAAGAACTACATTCATAACGCTCTTGTTTCTGTGCCTTCAAACACTTTTCTCCCTATCATGCATGCACTCACAGTCCAATGGATTCTGTTCAGTGTTTGGGAAAACCTCTTGAGCCAAAAGTACTGAAGCTTTTCCGTTCTTCCCTCTATGTAGGGGCGACCTGGTATCCCAGGGAGAAAAGGTGACAGAGGAGATTCTGTTGGCCCACCGGTAAGAGAATTAAGGCATGAAGGGATTGCAGAGAGAGAGAGCATTATTTTACATTTAAATCATCCATGAGTAGTATACTGTTGCATTTTATCATCATATCGTGAATCATTCTTCAGCCAGTTATTTTACAGCTAGTACATCTGACTATAGTGTGTGGCACAACTGTTGAAACTTCCCCATGTAATCATTGGATGGGTAGCGCACATCTCAGCAGCAAAACCCCAGCGCCAAACCCAACAATATGACCCCCTATGAGCAAGCACTTTGGCAACAGTGGGAAGGAAAAACTCCCTTTTAAGAGGAAGCAGCAGGCTGGAGGAGCTTCAATAAATGCCATATATGAAACTGATCTGATGTGTCGAAGTTGATGTCGTGGCCCGTCTAAATTAATCCTCAATATACATTCACACACCAAGACTCAGACATAAGCACAGACACTGGCAGGCCGTTTTTGACATCATTGTAATCATTTTTTTTGAATAGTCATTGCCATTCTTGTATGTGTGTTTGTAGCGACATCATGTTTGTTACAAATAGTTTTATTCTCTGTCTCAGGGACCTCCAGGTCCTCCCGGCCCACCTGGACTTCCAGGAAGAATTATTGGCCTGAATGGAGTAAGTATGACTCAGAGAAGCAAAACATCAGTCACTAGCATATTTACTGGCCAGTTTATAAGGCAGTTGCACTTCCTATATTAATTCCATCTCAAACTCCAGAGAATAGGTGGGGAGTGTCAACATCAGCGAGGACCTGGTTCTGAATGATGACTGATCATTTGTGTCCCTGTGTTACTGTTCTCACATCTCACACATGTGCAAAGGAGACAGGACAGCATAGAGAGTGCACGATGACATCAGCGGACAGCAAAAGTATTAGTTCTGATTAGGTTCAAGTCTTTTTATGAATAATACCAGTTTATATAACCAGCAAGAACTGACAATATTGCAAACCAGAACTACCAAATCTTACATGGTTTTTGCCTCAATTCATAATTCAGGATTTACTCACTGGTTTTAACTCACCACCTTAAAGTACCTTAAAAATATGTCTGGCTGAATTTTCCTGACTAGTTACGAGTTTTATCCTGCTTGTTGAAGAGTGTTGACATTTTTAATAAATGCTGCCAAAATTTCAGTAAGTTATAAGCAGCCGATTGTCTCTCTGTATAAACTTTTATACATAAAAAGCGGTAAACGTGGAAAAACATGACTAATGCTCGTGTGCAGGTTATGATCGTGACTCATTTGACATGGTGGGTGATTGACTTGTAGTCTGATTCCGCTGCTCTTCTTTGAATCTTAAAGACAGTGTTCCCGGTGCGCCCCAGACCGCATTGCAAAATGGGACGAGTAAGTCTGAGTCTGACCATCTGATTGGTTCATTTCAGTTGGAAGTTCTGTTGGTGTGAGGGTGTCACAGCATGGCAGCTCTCTGGTGTGGGCCTCAACCCATTCCCCATTTCCTCTCCGTGTTTTTCTTCCCTTCATTTTGTCCTTCTTTGCTCTCCTAATGGTTTTTGAAAAGGCAACATGAATGTGGAGCTGGCCCTAATTCCTCTGGCTTTAACATGTGGTTGTTTTGTATTCTGTATATGATTCATAACTAGATTACCAAAAGCTCAACATTTTCTTCAAATTACCCAAAGACCAATTCATATATTTGGTACCATCAGTACCTCTTACTTCACTTATACTTCAATCCAATCTTTCCACTCAGTACAAACACTGATATGCCAGATGTTAAAGGGGGGGCGGGGTCTAAATTCTGCTTGCCTTCTCTGTTTCTTCCCCTAATCATCGTCTCAGGAAGAGGATGCTGTGTAAACCTTTGAAAAGAAGAAGGAAACAGACATCCTTTTACTGCATGTAGATCAGAATTGGTTCAATCAATTGGAGAAAAAAAACAGTCTGTGTGGAGGTGGTCACTTCTATTTTTAACAACCTTTTTTCTTATTGTAATGAAATAATGATAAACCCATCTCTGATCTACATGTTCTCAGATAAACAAGGTTCGTGACCTTCAGTACCTTCTGTCGTGGTGCTGAGTGTTTGGTTTGTTTGAGCCTTCTCTTAGAAGTGACACCATGTGGAGACATGGTGTGCTGAAAACACCACGATGACTGCTTGGCTAAACTTACTTGGAATTAAAAATGTTTTTTAGGTAGTTAATGAAGTGCAGTAACAGGACATTCTCTGTGTAAATGGCCTCTCTGCCATCTGTCAGAGGGCTTTGGGAGGTCTTCAAGTCGACTTTTGGTAAAAGTCATCCTTCAATGAAAAGCTTAAATCCACCATAATTTTTTCATCAGCCTTTTATAACACGTTGCTTGCTTGAACCTTAATCCTACATTTTAACCCAGGATGAGTGCTGCAGTCTGTAGCATGCATCCCTTGTATTTAACAGGTCTTTATGTAATCCTGACAATAATTTTTAGCTTTGATCTGCTTGTCTTTTTTACAATAATCCATTGTTTTTACCATAGTCTCTGATTGTGACTTTTGACTTTGCAAATTAACTTTCTGATGTTCACTTGTTTGTTCTGTTGTGTAACCCGACTGTAAATGTGTATAAGGGCCAGCTTCCCAACACAAATGTTATCTCAATGACGATGTATTTGTGCATAGGAGTCAATGACAAGGGGACATTCAGCTGGACCTAAAGGAGACAAAGGAGATGAGGGATTACCTGGGGAGCCAGGAACTCCTGGTGAGATCTTAAGATGACAGGATAGTGGACAGTGGTGGAAGTTCATTTTAAATATGGTCAATGTATCATGAGGCCAAAGTATATGGAAGTTCTGTCTATCAGCTGACATTTCACACCAAATGTTCTGCTGCTTGCTTTGTGTGATTTGATATGTGTAATTTTTCTTCTTAGGGCTCACATTTCCAGATGGAAATGTGGTGAGTACTCACGTACAACACATAATACACAGTCGTGGTAAAAAAAAAAAAAAAGTACATCTGCTTGGTTTTGCGTATCAGGACAAATTATTAAAATAATCTAGGAAGTAATAACTTTTCATAGTACGGCAGTTTAAATGTATAGCTTCTCAGATGTAACAACTTTAAACTATAAAACCAAGCTAACGCACAAATAAAACATTAAAACTGACAAACTGGCACTTGTTAAGCATTTAAGACTGAAATATGTGCTAATACACTAGAAATGCACCTTGATGGTGGCAGAGTGGTGAATCCTGAGCACTCTTTTGATCTCTCAGGGGACTAAAGGTGATCAGGGATACAAAGGTCAGAAGGGAGAAAAAGGGGATGCGGGCCTGCCTGGTCCTCTGGGGATCCCAGGGAGGTCAGGCCTTGTGGTAAGTTAAGCTATGTGGTAAAAATACTATTCTAGAACAGGAGGTTATTTAAAAAAATATTTTAAAATGATTATTTGTAAAAGCCGGATCTTCTGGCCAAAGCTGTGCAAATTATACCACTCTTTTACAATGAATTGAATTCTTCTGTTGTTTCTCTAGGGTCCGAAAGGCGAATCCATTGTTGGTCCAATGGGTCCTACTGGTTCTCCTGGTCAGCCTGGACCTCCAGGATTTGGACGGTCTGGACCTCAAGGTCCGCCTGGCCCTCCTGGGCCCCCAGGACCACCCCCTCCATACGGATCAAGTATGTGTGTCTATAAAGTTAAAACAAGTACCAAGTCACAGCCTGTACTACATGTGTATTGATTGTATGAGTTTAAAGTAATTGTGTTGTCATCAGCTGTCAGTGTCCCCGGCCCTCCCGGTCCTCCTGGTCCACCGGGCTCTCCAGGATATGCAAACTTTGTAAGAAACTGCTGAGGTGTAACCATACTTGGAATAAATGGAGAATCAAATGATTAGCTAACATTTTAAAGTGTCATCTCTGATGCTCTGATGGTTTGTGTTCAGGTTACCAGCTATAAGACAATCCACGCCCTCACCCAAGAGGCACACCATGCTGCTGAAGGTACCTTGGCATATGTGTCTGAAAGGGGAGGCGAGCTGTACATCAGAGCACGCAATGGTTGGCACAAGATCCAGGTGTGTAGGACGAGACCAGAAAGATTCAATATCTTTCAGGATATAATATCCTCTATAAGATCATCGTCCGCTGCATCTTCCTGTGAAGCTTCTACATTCAAATCACTGTCCAAAAGAATTGATTTGTCCTCTTGTACTGTAGAGTTTCACCACACGTCTCAAACATGTGCAAACAGCAACATTATAGTCTCCTTCAAACTGCTTTTAGCGGTATAGCATAGAGCAGGGTTGTCCAACTCCAGTCCTCGAGAGCTACTGTCCTGCAGCTTTTAGACGCATCCTTGTTCCGACACACCTGAATCAAATGAATGGCTTGTTATCAGGCCTTTGCCAAACTTGATGGCTGCTGAAGAGGTAATCCCACCAGAATGCGAACAGAAATGGTTCCTCTGGATTACCGACAGCCAGAGATGATGGGCATCACTTATCAACTTTGACCCAAGATGCTTCAATTGTGTGTGTTCAGTATTACATATATGTGTTTTGTTTTGATTATTCAATTAATGTATTATTTTGTAAACTTGTCTTGTGTTTTCACTTGTCTGTTATTTGTTCCGATTATTTGCTCAAATATTTATGGAAAGGACTTTGCAATAATTTATTTAAATGAATAACTGAAGTGCTATGTGCAAAAATGCTGGACTGGACATCATTTTATATCAAACACTATATAAAATACAAATATTACTGTATTCTTCTCTTTGGATTTTGCCAGTGTGGCCTATTAATGCTGGTGGTAGTTTGTGTCTCACTGACATCAAGAGTAAACTGCAGTGTGTGTGTGTGTGTGTGTGTGTGTGTGTGTGTGTGTGTTCTGTGTCAGCTCGGAGAGTTAATCCATTATGAACCTTCATCAGACACATCTCAGTCCCTCAGCAGACCCGGAGAATGGAGTAGAGCCCATAGGATGCAGAGCCAGGTCCAAACACCAATGCACACACACTGAAACCTCACTGAACAGAACTTTGAAAGCAACTTTAAAAAAAAAAAAATTAATTCAAAGTTGTTGTTTTTTTGTTTTTGTTTTTTAAAAACACACTTATCCAACTTTTTTGTTGAACAGGAGCTGCAGGAGGGAAGCAGAGGATACCAGCACAGTTATAACCTGCTACCACAGCATTTCAATGCCGTCTCTGGGGTGAGTCCAAACACATATTAGGCATACTCATCACAAATGAAGCCCAATTCCAAACCCAGAGGGTGAAAATGAATTGGCTCACTGGAGGCCTTTCAGATTTTATATTTCATCTGTAATGAAGAGCACATCAGGTATGACTGAGAATACTTTCTCTAATCTTTGTGCTCCATTTCTCTTTCGTCTAGCTTCATCTCGTAGCACTGAACGCCCCGCTCAAAGGAGATATGCGTGGCATCCGCGGAGCAGACTTCCAGTGTTACCAACAGGCACGCGCCGTGGGGCTCACCTCCACATACAGAGCCTTCCTGTCATCACACCTTCAGGACCTGGCAACCATTGTCAGAAAGGCTGACCGCAATGACATGCCCGTGGTTAATCTGAGGGTGAGCAGGTTTCATAGCACTACACAATACATGATGCAACACTTGGCTTTCTTTTCCAGCAGGAATATTTTCAGTATCAAATAAAATAGAGAGTAAAAGCGAGTGGCACATTTAAAAGATAGACAACAAAAAAATATGTCTTGTAAGTAGTGTAAGAAGAGAAATTTAAGATACTCTATAATACAACCTGCAAACCCCTAGTAACACTGTGAAACAACATTGTAAGAAGGGGAAGTTAGTATGCTCTACAGGACATACTATAATAACAGTTGTGATAATCTAAGAAGGGGAAGTATCGTTCCTTCCTTGTTCCACTGCACCTACATCTTTAGTAGTATTTTTAGGTATCAGAAATTAGACCCAAATTCAAAGGAATTACACGGATATCAAACCTTAACCCTGAGTGCATTATGTGGTTTTCTTCAAACAAAGAACAGATTATTCCACAAAGTAGAAGTGATATATTTTCTGGGGTTTTGTTTTTCTCATTTAAAACACGTTATTTTTAACAGTTGGCATCTTCTTAAGCAAGTTTTTCCCCCTGTCCTGCCCTCAGGGTCAAGTGTTGTTCAATAGTTGGATGTCCATCTTCTCTGGGAATGGAGGCGTGTTTGATCCGTCCACACCCATCTTCTCCTTTGATGGACGCAATATAATGAGTGACTCGGCTTGGTAAGTGGGTGGGGGAAAGTAGGGGAAAGCATGTGTAGCAAAGGAATGAAAAATGATGCCATTTGCCAAAAATGATTTATTTAGGAGTTCCAGTTGGGCTAAAATGTTGGATAGAACGATTTTTATGATGTACAGGCCATAAATTTCATGTTCATGTGGACAGCAGCTCTCACTCAGATGAACAGTGGTACTGGCAAATGCATTTACGAGCACTTTTTAAGCATTTATGAGAACATGATGGAAGATGGAGAGTTTTTTTGTTGTCTTTTATTGAGAGTGAAAAAACAGTTTTCTCAGTCAGTTGGCAAATTGATCAGAAATACCAAAATCCTGCTCCACTCCTCAACTCACAGAAGGTTCTGGTGATATATAGCTTCTTTGTCAGCCTGCATAAATTCTCCTGTTTGTGCTGCGGGGGGTCAGTTATGAAAAGGTAATAAAGCCAGATAAACTTTGGTTGAACTGGACTATTGATGAATAAAGTCATCAATAGTCACATCCATCTTTCATATATAGTCACAGGCATTTTTAATTAAAGGTACAGTCAGGAGTTTGTTCTGTCTTCAAACAAATGACTCCATTCTCATAAACTTAGAAATAATCCGCAAAAAACACATAGTGGGTTTGTAAAAGCAGCCATGTTGCCCCATCTCCATAAACACAACGGCCACGATGGACATTGCCATTACACCTGATTGTGTTTTATGTATGTGATTAGTGACCAGCCACATATGTAGTATGCCAGTCAAGAGGAAAGAACTGATAGACATTCAGGTTTCATAAAGGCAAATTTGAATTGCTTATTTACACCCAATATTTTCAGAATTACTTAGACAGCTGACCCTCCTGCCTTCAGGCAGCTGCAAAGAACCAGCTAAACACCCAGTTATGCATGTTATGAAGAATGTTAGCCTCGAATGTCCTAAAAATCAGCCCCCCCGATAAACAGTTTGCTTACATTTTCACATCAAATACGGGCTTATTCAATAAGTTTCACTAATGTTGACTCACAGCAGCTAACAGCAGCTAACAGCAGCTAACAGCAGCTAACAGCAGCTAACTCACCTCAGTTTCCCCGTCATTGGTCAGAAATGAGCTTGCATCAGACTCCTCTGAGTTTTATAGCCTCCTTCAGCCTAAATAGTCGTGGATGTTTCTCAACCAGCATTGACAGCTGAGGTAAACGCTCTAAATTTTATGTTTTTGGCTGACTTTGTCCTACAGTAGCCACCATAGCTAGGATTATGCACTTGAATTGAGAAGGGTAAAAAAGAAGAAGTCATTTGACTGCAATCTACTGACATCTAGTGGTGAGATTTTTCACACTTTAACAAGCGTTCTTAAACCAATAAACTCAGGCCGCAGTGAGCAGACTTCATGGATTCATAAACCAAAGAAATATTTTATTTTTCCCTACTGTCACTAATCTGTGCCAGTGTATGCCATGCGATGAACTAAGAAGCACAGAAAAGCAAAGGCATGTGTTGCATTAGCCTGACAGTTTTATCAATCAGCTAAGAGTGATATTCAAAATTATAGTTTTAGTTGTAGAGTTATGAGCTCATAAGGAGTAACTCTCGGATTCAGTTTGGTCCTAATAACACACGAATGGGAAGCTTCTTACCTCAAGGCACCAGGAGATGATGCACCTGTCTAATTTTAGATAATGAGGAGACAGGAGTAGCAAAAAGTTGAACTGTTGTATAACAGTGCATCTTAAAGTACAAAGAAAACATTAACTAAAGCTGCCCAGTAAGCTCAATATTTCCTTGTAAAGAAGAATACTGGTCAGTCTTCCAGCTGGACAGGCAAAACCATGTGGAGAACTCAGACACAAGAATGTGCAAACTTCACACACACAGGCTCTTTCTGCTGTGAACTGCCTTCAAAGAAGTAGCTGCAGTCGACCTCAATGCCCTTGTCTTCCATTTGTCCGTCTTTACCTAAACTGCTATAGCACAGGGACAGTCTGTGTAAAATCCACACCAAGTCTCTCTCCGTTTTCCCATAGGCCAGAGAAGCTGGTTTGGCATGGCTCCAGCACCACGGGCATCCGCCTGACCACTAACTACTGCGAGGCCTGGAGGACAGCGGACATGGCGGTGACGGGTCAGGTTGCCCTGCTGCAGACGGGACGACTGTTAGGGCAGCACGTGCGCGCCTGCTCCAACCACTATGTAGTGCTGTGTATAGAAAACACATATGTGGGCAACATGCATCAAAGGAGGAACTGAGCAAACAAACACACACACATAAACACATGCAGGCATGATCTAAGTAGAAGATGTGACACATGAATGGGAAACACATGCGGGCACATAATGATGTACTTCAGCTCCCACATGCAAACATACCGAGAAACACTCCCACACTAACATGCATTCACATTTAAAGAGGACTCATACTCATTTCCAGCTCCATATTTTTATTTTTGGACTGTGCTAGAGTAACTTTGCTTTATTCACAATCCAAAGTAATCCTTATTTATCTTATACTGAGGAAGCACTTCAGTGCAGCCACGCCCCTTCTAAGAAGTTTCTTCTGATTGGCTGCCACTCATAAACACAGAATTCAGAATTCAGTAGCAGGTGGGCGGGACTTTTACACTCACAGTCTGAACTGCGATATGACGAGATCCTCTCAAATTCATTAAAAGGCCCAGAGACTGAACCTTTGGCCTCATTATTTGAAACTTTGGTCATCCTTGTAACACTGTAACAACAAAAATATGATAGAATTAGGCTTAAAAATAAGACAAAAAAGGAAGAGCAGTAGGTCCTCTTTAAGTTTTCTTTGTATTGGTTTCATGTTTAGTTCCCACTCGAAGCCGGATTTAAGCCTGCGGGTCTTACATGTCTGTCCGTGTCTAGATTTTTCTTAGCCGTCTGCATCAAACAGGCTACAGTTACCATGCATAAATTTGTCTGCAAGACCAAGTGAGAATGAAGGGCTTCAAATTAAAATGAGGTCATAATCATATATGTACTTTATTGGAGATTAAAAAAACGTGTCAGTATTTTTTTAAACAGCAGGGGCTCTCAATTCAAATATTAGTCATATTGAAACCGTGCTTTCATTGTGCGCTACGTCTGATGCTTTTAGTGAGCCTGCGAGTCAGCAGCAGGGCAGTGTATGCCACAGTGAGTCAAAATGAACCAATGTGTGTTTGAGTTCACTGGTACCAAAGTTTCCCAAACACATAAGCACATTTGAAGCATGTGGAAACAGCTGTACACACGTCTTAGACTTTAGTCACTAACTAATGACTGATGTGTCACCAGAAAATGGCACGAGTGTTAATTTCTTACATCCGGGGATGAATGACGGATGAATGGGGGATTTGGCAAGCAGGGGAAAAACACTCAAAAGACACTTCATTAGATATACTGGTTAAACTAGTCATCAATCTCATGGCATTAACTGTAGACATGGTCAACTGGACTTGAAGTTCAAAACAAACACCAAAATGTGGAAGAAAGGTGAAAAAAGAAAGAAAGGTTTAAGTCTGAATGTGGCACGGTTGTTGGTATTTCAGAAACTGCTGATCTACTGGATTTTCAGGGTTTATGGAAAATTATGATAGGTAGACACCAGTAACTCAAATAGCTATTTGTTACAAACAAAGGATGTAGAAGAGCATCTCTGAACACATGACATTAAAGCAGATTGGCTACAGCAGCAGAAGACCACACCCTCTGCTACTCCTATTGGCTAAGAACAGGAATCTGAGGCTACAGGTCACACAGGCTCACAGTAGCAGGCTGGAAAAACCTTGCCTTGTCTGATGAGTTTTGATTTCTGCTTCAACATTCAGGTGATAGGGTCACAGGTAATCTCAAACTGATTCTTGAACATGACTATGAGTCCACCTGATCCCAATCTGGTAGAGCACCTTAGAAATGTAGAATGGGAGATTCACATCATGGAAATTTGCAGCAGCTCTGCAAAGCAGGGTCCAAACTTGTATTGGCGAAGTGTAACTAACGACGTGGATTTGTTTTCCTTTTGGTCAACTGACTTCCACTGCTGCTGGGACTGAGGTTTACAGCTCTATGAGGATTTAGCTGACGGCACTCTACGATATATAAAAGCAGTGATACTAACAAGGACAATCATTTTTAAATTCGTCCTTGATCTGTCACAGTGTAGCCTGTCGGATAGCCTTTGTCCTTGTGTTTTCTTCCTTTTTTTAACATTACATTTTAATCTGATATTGAAAACATTAATCTTTTTTTTTTAAAGCATGATAAGACTACAACAATAAAAAAGTACAGGTGATACTGAAGGCTTCAGCATAGGCTAACTGCACTATGATGCCCCCTGCTGTAAAACCACCAGTTTTGTTTACGCCATTTTTTTTTTCAAAGCTTAGTCCTACAAATTCGATTTCTTTTGTTCTGCGTCCTTTAATAAAACTTCACCATTAACACATCTCTTTTGAAGTAACAATATTAGAGTGGACATCAACATTAATATGTACTGTAGCAGGACCTAGCGTGAAAACAGTCAGCTCACATTCAGATTTGCTTGTGTGAGGTTGGAACATGTATGTATATAAATATATATATATGTATGTGTGTTGTTTATTTTTTACTCTGTAGGTTTTGTATGAAGCACACTAAAAGACTGAAGGCCTCCTCCCACCGCGCTTTCACTGAGGCGTAGCTTGTTTTTCTGCTGTCTGACTTTAATGTCTCTGTTCAAACAAAACTTGAGGTTCTGAGGAAAAAACTGACGGTTTGTACTGACTGACTGGTGCTCACTGAATAAAATGTCACGTGGTGGTTTTTTTGCTTTTTTTTTTTTTTTATAAGTTGTGGCTCATTTATGTCCTCCAACATGTGTTCAACACAATCATCAAATGTCATGCAGAAGAACCAATGAGAACATTGGTAAGCTAGCAAAAAAACAGCTTTTTATGTAAACTGCTGCATTGTCATTTAGCTTTGAAGAAGTGCATTTTATATTAGGAATCGTACATTTAACCAATTTCTTTCCCCCACAGTCAGCAGTTTGCAGATGCATCACATATCAGTAGTAGTTCTCAGTGAGAGGCTAAAACATGTTGTAACAGTCACAGTAATTAGTAATCAGGAATTTTTAAAATGTTAGCTAATATTACCCTATTAGTCAACATTGTTAGCTAACATTGTTAGCTAATAGGGTAATGGGTCACACCAGTTCAAAAGGCTTGTTGCAGCAAAGCCCCTGAAAGCACCAGACTTCTGTGAATATGAATTCATATTTAATCTTTCATTTATATGAAGTTTAGACAATTGGATGTGCAATTTTTTCTTTTTTGCTAGGAAAACAGGAAATGGGCGCAGAAATGTACTAAATCATCCAAATGTACATCGAAATAACGCAAAAGTAGAGCTTGTGAACACAAGCAGCGCAGCCTGATCTCTCTTAGGCAAGCTTTCTTGTCATTTCAGAAATAGTTCTGTGTTTTGAAGGACATACTGAAGATCTTTGGATGTTGGCTGACTTAAGTTGGGTTTTCTCTTAGAACCTTGAACTCTGGGTTCTACCCAGCAGTGTGTTTGGGATAACTGTCATGTTGGATCAAAATCTGACTGTATTTTCAGTGTTTATAGTTCCATCAGTTTTAGCAAGATCCCCAGCTCCAAATCATGGTATAGCCTCCACCATGTTTTACAGATGGTTCTACAGTCACAGTTGTACCTCTCTCCTAACCTCCTCCACAAAGATTGACATCCACCAAAAATTTCAAATCTGGATTAATCACTTCATAAGACATGTTGCCACTTCTTTTCAGTCAAACTTTGGTCTAATTTGACATACCACAGGTTCTTCTCTCGGATCTCTTCCCTGTTACCTTTAAAGGTACAGTTAGCTATTTTTTGAGATTATATGATAATAAATAATATCATCATCATAAATATATACCATTAGAGTAATTTTACCATTTCACTGTAACTGTAAAAAAATTTTAAACAAACTTTAATTTTAGGTTTATGAGAATTCATCTACTAACATACATAACATTGCCAAAGATAGAGGAGAAAAACAAGCTTGTAGGCGTTTGTGTGCCATGGAGGCAAATTTTAATTTGTGCCAACACTTTCAGAAAGAAGATATGAGGGAGCATAGCTATGTTTTATCTTCGGAGGTCTCCTTCACCAAAGAGGTGAAAACATGAAGGAAAGAAACAACCTGACCGACATTTTAATAAAACACCATCTCATCCCTCCTCACCTCAACAGTCAACTCCAGAAGTAAAGTTGGGGCTCTAACACAATGTTTCTCTATTCCCAATATTTCACAATTACTTAATGTTAGTAGCAGCGGTAGGAATCAACAAAGTACAAATACTTTGTTACTGTACTTAAGTGGATCTGTAGCTTATTTTCTGACAACTTTTTACTTTTACTCTGTAAATTTTTCTGAAAATAGTTGTACTTTTTACTCCTTACATTTTCAAAACAGGCTTATTACGTTAGTTTCAACGGTATTATTTATAGCATTCATACTTAGTTGTCCATAAGTTGTGGTGGCCTGTCATCAGCTTCTAGCTGGCGCTAAAGAAGAGGAGCGAGCGTAAGGGGAATAACATTTTTTTAACCAACAAGTAATTTCAAATGCAACGTTTCTGTCCACACAGACAGTTTGTACAGTCTGTTATTCAAATGTTGCATAAAAATACTTCACAGAATTTTACCTTTATACTGTCTAGAATAAAGACATACAGCCTTCTCCAGGGTAAACAGACCAGTTTCTTACCTGGCATGCTGACTGTTTGCTGAGGTAAACATACTCAGTTTTTAAAGTGATTTTTTCTGGGGGGGGAGGGGGGAGATTGTAAAACAATGCAAATTACTAAATCGACACATCACTTTTTTGACTCCTGATTTATTGCAAAGTTTTGATATTATTTAAATATTAAAAAAATAATGTTTACAAAAATATTTGTTATACACAAGCAGTAGAAGAAAGTCAATGCGGTTTTATTTATATAGCCACAAATCACAACAACAGTTACATCAGAGCACTTTATATTGGAAGGTAAAGACGGGACAATATTAGAGAAAACCCTATATCAGACAAACCCCTATGAGCAAGCAGTTGGCAAGAGTGGGAAGGAAAAACTTCCTTTTAACAGGAGGCAGGGTGGCACATACCTCTTCATATGAAAATCCCCTATATGTAAACAGAGTCAACAAAATAGTCAAAAACATGATGGGGGTGTCAAGACATCGCCGGTCTCTCTGATCCTTTCGTCTTAATAGAGATCACGCAGAGATGTTTCAAAGTTTCACACAATCCTTTTATTACCCATTTCCTGGCAGCAGAGGGGCAGTTGCCCCCCTGTAGATGTGCCCCTGGTCAACACATAACAGTCTCAAGTTATTACTCATTAAGAAGGTCCTGGATAATCTCCCCATCTTAAACTTAGAATCACATTTACAAAATGAGACTGAGTCCTTCCTGTGGGTCACACCTGAGGGCTTCTGTAGGACTGAGTCAAAGCCTTCTTGCAACTACAGGTACCACCCTGGTGGCCATTAAGAAAAAAGCAAGTTTCAGGCATTGCCTTCTTTCAATTTAACGAAAAAATAAAATCAAAAAGGAAAAAGCCACCGTCACAGCCATGTCGTAACAAAAGATTCATTTTATTAAATGGTTATGTACAAGACATTCCTGAATCAAAACAGCAAGTCCATAACGTTTCATCTTCTGTTACCTTTACATCTTCTCGTAATCTGAGTACCTCCCCTCCCCCCCCACAAAAAACAACAACAAAGGACAAAAAGAAAAAAACAAACAAACAAACAGGTGTGCTTCAATTTCCAAAAAGAGTTTTAACCCCCCCTTATTGCACCAGACCCTTACACACTTCAGTCCCAAGGTGAGGGTGTCAAAACAAGGACCGGTTAAATACAAAACATGGTCTGGGTAAGTACAATTTAATTTGTCTCTACAGCGGCCTTACCACAAACATTACTGAAGCGATAGTCGAAAAAAAAATAAAATATCAAGATCGTCTATAAAAAGGATGTCCGTAAAATCCATAGTTCAAAAAAGAAAATCCTTTTTAAAAATGGTGAGATTATTTATGTGTGACTATGTAGTGATGCGTGGAAGTGGCTAACTCAGCTGAGAATTTATATCAGATTTAGAAAAGCACCGACCAGGAGCTGAGCTATGTTTCCAAAAGCATCTTAGACACGTGGTTCACTCCACGGACGAGTATGTTTCCTATTAAAACTCTACTGCTGTCTTATATTTGGGCTGCGCTGACAGATATAAAGCCGCTCTGAAATGAGACTATATCAGGTCAGACACCTGATCAGGATTCTGAAGCTTAGCTGTCATCAGCTGTGTGAGGCCTGTGCTCTACACAGTTAATAGCAAGCTCCTACAATAATAACACGACTATCACAGTGAAATAAACCTTGAAACAATCACTACAATGTGGGTCAAACAGATATTTGATGAAGACATCGATAAATTTCAAGAGAGTCCATATTCACAAGGTGTAAAATTAACACTGTGCACAGATAATTATTAAAGTTGGATAAAAAGGCGACTGTAAACCAAAGAATTTCAATAGTGACTGGCACAGAAATTAGCAGGCTCCTTATTATAAACAAGAGATACAGCCCTAACCAAACATCTTCAGTAGATCACTCCAAAAAATTTAATTTCGACTCAAAAAGAAATCAGGTTAAGATCTTTTTTTTTAAACCTGGATAAAATCCACCCATAATAAGCATAAGATGCTTTTGGAAACTCTTGACTGTAGCAGTGTGAACGTTCCTGCAGGTCCGGCAGAGCCGAAGAGAAGAATCAGACCGTTTTCCAACAGCAAAAAGGAACCTCTCTGTAGGTGTGTGAAACTATCTGTGCTGGTGTTAAACAGCTCTGCAGTGGCGTGTGTGTGTGTGTGTGTGTGTGTGTGTGTGGTGACTCGAATAATTTGGGATTTCCTCATAGTTCTGCATTTGTGCAGGTGGTGTGAATTTAGTCGTCTTGTTTCTAGGTGCTGTTAACAAAGCATGAAAAGTCTTTAAGAAAAAAACAAAACGATGAGCCTGAAGTAAATAAAAGGCGGTGTGTGAGCAACGATGACCAAACCCCAGAAACAATAAAACATCACCCTTCCAAACAGGATAGAGCTGCTCTACGATGGCATGAATGGCTGTAGCAACAATAGAAGGCCCCGATTTCTTGTTTAAAAATGTGATGTATGCAATGGGGGCTTCTACCACAGCTACATGTCCCTGAGAACAAGGTCCACGTCACATGTTATTGGGACCTGCACACCATGCTAACAGAGGAGGGTTGAACCTGCTGCACTCAGACGTCTTTTTTCAGTCCATGAAGTCTCATCCAGCAACACCTGGAGTCTGAAAACCTCTCAGCTGGGAAGGAAGACTGAGACCGTCAGGAGTCCAACTCTACAGGCTGTTCACTGTTAATGCCCCCTCAAGGAAATATGAAATGCTCTCAGTGATGCATGTTTTTAGAGTTATGTCAAAGGTCCTCTTAATCAAAAAAAAAAAAAAAGAAAGAAAAGAAAGAAAAGAAAGAAATCATTCCCTTTTTAAGGCAGCGTCTCACTTCAGCATGAGGTTTTCTTAACCACTCAAAATGAAATGTAGTCACAAGACTGCTTCCAAATCTGCTCCTGTGGAGACACTAATGTTCTCTGCTCGAGCAGGTGAACAAAGCTGGCGGTTTATTACTATTGGGGGTTCGTGTGTATGACTTTAGGCATTTCTTTTTGTCTAACATAACACTGTAGTCACCACAATCACTGCTGAGAGCAACATCCAACAAAAGCAACAAACACAAGTAGTTAGAAAAGGCCCCCAGAAGATGTGTCAGGGAGCTGACGGTTGCTCGGGGAAAGTGTGTATTCTGCAGCCTCTTGGTGAGTGGTTGCTGACAGTTGCCAGAGTGAAATTGGCTGCAAACAGGCATAGAGATCACCAGCAGGCTGCTGTGACTTTCCCCGAGCTAACCAGCATTTAGGCCTGCATGACTGAGGTTCAAGACAGGTGGACACAGAGCTGTATCGTGGATAAAACCAGTTAATTTTAGTATAATAAATGATCGTGAAAATCAGAACCTCGCTTGTGGTCTGTAGTCTGAGGGGTCGCTTTGGAATGTTTTGTGGCCTCAGCACTGACTGGGCGAGTACAAAGTTAGTGCTACAAAGAAAAGACGAGCTGTAATAAACCTCCTTTAGTGGGGAACTACGATAATCTGGCACAGACCTCAACTCCTGAGGAGGAGTCTGCAAGTTGAGCAGTGAAGCACATTTACATGTTTCATTGCTGAAAAATAAAAAGGCTCGTCTGAAGCTGCTCTGGGCTCTGTAATGACTTTCACATCGATGAGAGTTTGATCAGGAATGCTGAGTCACCAACCCACACACACACACACACACACACACACACACACACACACACACACACACCAACACACACACACACACACACACACACACACACACACACACACACACACACACACACACACACCTCATGATTCTGAGACTTGAGCTGCCTCAAAGTTGACTGCTAGCTTCCTTTGCCGTCTCTTGGAGGCAGAGCTGGGGGTGTGGCCTGTTGCTGGCATGATTTGCCTAGGTGGTGTATGCAGTGCCGTCGTCGTGGAGTCACCAGAGGAGAGGTCGCAGTTAACAGCTTGTTGGTGGATTTTAACGCTCTGTGGTTCAGTCTGACCTTGCAATTGGCCAGTTGGCTGGTTCTGGGATTTCTGTGCTTGGTTCTTAGCAACAGTTTGGGCAGCACTGTAAAACTCTCGAGTTTCCTGGTTCCTTTTATTTGCCGACACTCGTTTCTTAGTCACCTGACAAGGTGAAAGATAAACAGAAAGCTGAGTTACCAACCTGGCCTACGTCTGCACAGGAAAAGATAAATGGGAACGCTGTATTAACCTTTTTCCATTAGCACCTCCTGTGGTCGGCTCGACACACTTTTCAGGGTTTTCTGTTAGTTGGTAGTATCTGGTACTACCAACTAATAGACTGCATGCCACCAATTGGCTACTCATTGTTGTCAATGAGTCGTGAGGGCACTTCCTTCACAAATATGAAATTGTAACTTTTGAAAGCCTGCAACGGGAGAAATGGCTACACAGAAACAACACTGTGGTCCCGAGTCTGACGAAAAGCCACAAATCGAGCAGCAGGTACAACATCGCCTAGACGCCCACCTTTGTTGTATCATCCGTGTTGCATACAAATGGCGTTACAGGACGCTCCGCCATGTTGCTATAATGACCCTAAGCACAATAGGTGATACTCAATTGTAATGGTAAAACAAGTCGAACCGATCCAAGTAGGTCCTTATGGAAAAAGGGCTTATGTGTTACCTGTAAGGGGATGAACTGGTTGTGTGAGCCAATGGGCAGTGTCGTTGCAGGCTGGGGGCGCGCAGCGCCAGGGAAAGTCCCCGGTGGGCCGTAGAATGGCTGGTTTTGGTGGTGCTGAGGAGGCACCGTCATTCCCCAGAGAGGAGCAGGACCGTAACCCTGTGGGGGCAACAGCACACCACCTGGAAAACAAGAGCATACTCCTAAGATTAAAAAAAAGATCATTTTTAAGGCTTAAAAAATTTGATATGAATGCTGCTACTATTAATTCATCCCCTGTCACAAGGGTTCACCACACTGAGGAGCTCTGCATAGGGCGATAATCAAAATCTCATATCCGATATAAGACATTTATCGTCCCGACAACGATATAAAAATCACAAAAATTTTGCATTTTGTGTAAATTCTGTGAATCTCGGGCAACTCGACGCGTTTCCAGCTGGGCGTCGTGTACCTGGAGTCGAGTGCTACATAAGTTGAAACAGCCGCAGCTTTTTTTGTGAGTATTTATGACATGGCATGCTGCGAGAAAAAGCCTGTTCTGAGGTTTATTTTTGAGCACCTGACGGCTCTTTTTGGCCTCTCGTCCGTAAACACTCTGCATACTCTTTCACGTGTTTCAGTTTACTTTGAAAAATCTCAACAGGATCTTCAGCTTTATTGTGAAATGTTTATGTGGAAAATAAACAAGCGGACGGCAGAGCGATGGTTTTACCATCGCCGTTGCTAAGGACTACGCATTAAACCAGGCGCTAGTCCCTCCGTAGTGTGGTTACATTAAATATAAGAGAAAGAGAGAACTTTAAGAAATTCTACAGTGACCATCAAAACGATGAAACAATATTGCCGTAAACAGTTTATTTTGCGACACCATGAAACAAACGATAGCGTAAAATGAAACGACAGACGTTTTCATATCGTCCTCCGATATTTGTCGTTATATCGAACAGCCCTAGCTCTGTATGTTTAATCTGGCAGAATTTTACACCAGGTGACCTCGACCCACTACACTATGGAACACCTTAAACTGATGTTTCTAAATTCATTGATGAAACCTTAAAGAAAGACAGACTCACCTTGTTGGTTGAAGACAGCTCCCATGTGGGGAGGTCGTATCTGACCCACTCCTGTGTACAGAGGAGGTGGGAGGGGGAAGCCTGACCCGAGTGAGTTCTACAGATGCACAGAGGGTCAGCAACACATTTAATGTTTATCTCATTGGTTACAAAGTTCAGCCTCTCACACTTGTGAATCAAATATGTGCGTTTGTGTGTATACCAGTCTCTGAAGTGCAAAGAAAGCAGCTTTCTCCTTGGCATCGTGTTCTGACTGGCACTGTGGGCCATGAACCATCAACCCGTTGGACAGTTTCACCTGACACAGCACTAGACCCTGCGTCGGTGTTAATGGAAATGATTCAGAGTGGGGCACTTGTGAAAGTGGGAAACGCAGAGTAGAAAAAAGTGTGACGTAACAGAAACAGAAAATAGAGCGTGTTACCTGTCTGTTGCGCATGAAGCTGAAGTCAGGTGGCGCCATACCTAAAGCCACACAGATGCAGGCCAGCTCTGACACCTTACTGCCCAGCAGGGTGTTGGCAGAGGCAGCAGGTGCCGGAGAAGGCAACACAGGCGCGTCGCCGTGTGGGACGTTTATTTTTGCAGCTGGAGGGAGAAAGTAATGATCATAAGGAGGAGAACACAGAGAAGAAATTTGCCTGGGATTTAGAAATCACTAAGCTACCGAGTTTCTTTGACGATCGTCTCCTGTTCTGCTGCTGGCCACCAGGGGGGGTGCTGTTTGACGTCTCTTGAGCAGATTGACTTCCTGTTCCAGTGCTGTCAATTTTAAGCATCTCCTTCAGCACCAGGGTTCCCTTCTATAGCGACAAACCACACACGATCATTTATGCTAAGTGGTTCTTCTAAAACTCAGAGGTTCCTCTTATTTTGGCTTCACCGCATATTTACCATGGCAAAAGACTGTGGGGATAATGGGCCATCTGGCTGGCTGTCACCTCCTTGTGGAGGGGCAGGAGGGGGTGGGGTTTGCTGGTTACCCTTGGAGATTTTTAGATTGGCAATGAGGTCCTCAAATTGTGTTTCAGCCTGAGTAAGAGAAAGTAAAGAAACTGTAAATCATCGTCTTGTTCAGGGTACGAGATTCTGACCAGAGAAAACCCTGAAAAACCAAAAACAGGCAGAAGTCAAAAGAAGGATTTGTGTTTCTGCACCTTGTTGGCTGTATTGTGTGAGGGAATAAAGGAGCTGACATCTTCATTTTTCTTCAACAGTCTGATGCCAGCAGGTGGGGTCTGTGAACGATACATCATCAATTCTAATCCAGTCCACGCAAATACAACACAGAGCAATTCATGCAAACGCACGTCGCTGTTAACATGAACGTGTGAAAACCAAAAATAAAAACTGATGAATTTAACATGATAAACTTAACCAATTGTGCACAACAGAAACAGCTGATGTGTCGACTCACAGATTTGCTGGCGGGTTGGTTCTTCCCCTGCTGGGAATGTCCTTCCTAGAATCCGAAACACTTTTTTAAAACTATTGTTTTAAAAGCGTAATTCAAGAATTAGTAGTGAAATAAGGAACATCACCAGAGCACTCTTTGTATTCTGGTTAAATTCCTATATAAAAACAAAGTTCCTAAGTGCCTATGTCACTTCACTGTTAAATCCTGAAGCAATCACATCAGCACTCATGGAGGAATTTCTGTATCAAATCTATAAGGTTCAGTCTGGTTTGCGAAACTATGTGGTTATTTATTTGAAACCATTACAAGTTCACTTGAACTAAAATAAGGACAATACAGTAAATATTTCTCAGCATTACTAGTTTTCCCTTAAAATTCCTGCTGGACTCCTAGGACAGTGAGAGAGAAGTTTTAGAGGAATCTAAAAAGCTGGTGTCTGTCTCACTGAAAACTTACACTGTTGTGCCAGTGAGCAGGAGGCTTGTTAGGAGGCCCTGTGTTCTGCAGAGACTGCCATACATTACTGTACTCCTCTTTGTTCTGGATGGAGAGAACGACATATGTAGAAACAAGTCATGTTACACACATTGTTGAGAGACTGTAACAGCTAGGCCAAATGGAGCAAAACCTGCTCTTACCCTGACCTGGTGCTTTTGGATGGGACCTTTTGAGGGAGAGCTCCTGTTGCCCTGTGAGGCAGCCTTTGCCACACCATGTTTGTTGTTATGCTACAAATAAAAAGCAGTTGGAACAGTGAAAGAGGAGAAAGAGGAGGGATTTAGGTGAAACTGTGGAAGTTCCAAATCATTTCCACTATTCCAAACTGGGGAATAATTTGTACATGAATCTACTGTGAGCATATTCCATCCTCCTACCTGTGTGGGGATAAAAGGTGAACGAGGAGAGTGGTTCAGGCCTGCCAGCTGCCGGTACGAGCTGAAGTTGCCGCCAGTGGCAGGCTGCGGTTTGACGATGGCGGTGAGTTTGTGGCCAGTGTGATCAACCCGGGCTCCGTGGGAAAGGTTGATCAGGGCGCAGGGAGGGAGGCGGTAACAACGAGAAGACGTACACCTGAGGAAGCACATGAAGAGGCAAAGCAGCTGTGACCGTCTGCTGTAAAGAGGAACACCTTTACTCCAACAGTATCCTGGTATGGACATCGTGTGTATTCTGTTACAGCCTGACTGTATGATTTTGTGTTTATCCTCCTCTCGTGCTTTATGTAACCGTTTTGTAAAAGACTGCGCACTCTGCAGCTTTTTCTGTCTGGTGTAAAGAAACTGAACACTGAAGTTGACGGTATGACGTAGTAATTCAGTCAAAGAAGAAAAAGTCTTGTCAATTATTGTAAAAGTGACAGCAGGTTTTAATGAAGTTTAGTTAGCCATCTAACACTGATCCATGAGCAGTTCGTTTCAGGGTGACTTTGATGGCAGCGTATAAGACAAGCGAACACTTTTATCCATTCAGAGCTGCTTTGGAGGAGGACAGACTGATGTGATCTGGCCGCTGCCTGTGACATGCTCACACGTGTGTTTGTGTGCAGTGAACAAACTACTTGGGGAATCTGTTTGAACAACCATCTAGAATGTTTGCTTAACAAATCTGCTTTAAACAACTGTTGGGAACCATTAACGGATGATTACTCCTGCCATCCAGGTGAGCGTTCATGTGCAACCTATGACTAATAAAAAACAACAACTAACATTAACAACAGGCAGCAAAGACCTCTCTGCTCTTCCCCTGCCCAGGGCAGCTCAGTGGGTAATGGATTAAAGTATGTGATCTGGCAGCAAAATCAAAAGCCCTCCCATTTCATGTTTGTAAATTGGGAATTGTTTAGAACTGACCATTCCCAACACTAATTACATACAGCAGCACACTCATGGTTACCTGATGTTGAGACCTCCAGCAAATTCTTCATCAAACAGCACTTCATAGAGAACCTCTGCCTCGCGCTCCGCTAAAGAAACAGACACAGATATACTGTTAATCACGCTCTTGTGTGTTACCCTTGATATGTGCAGACTTTGCATATGAGGACAATGACGGCTGACGGGTGTCCTCACCTCCTTTAATGCCAATGATTGTCCCTCTGAGTCCCAGCGGGACGGTGAAGCTCTCCCTGATGTTGATGACTCTGTCAAACAGACGATATTCCGCGTCGGGGTCTGGAACTACACCCTGCTGCTGCTCCAAGGGCTGCACACATATTTTTATTAATGTTATCAACTAATCTGCCATTGATCTTTTAAATTAACTGATTAGGAAAAAAAAATTAAAAAGAGAGAGAGAGACTGTGTGGCAAACATCCTTAAACACACTGCATGAAAATGCCAGGGGTTCAAAAGTAATAGGACATTTGGCTGCCGGCTGTTTCAGTGTCATTTCAGATATTAGCTCACAAACAATCAGGGTGCATTGAGAATGCACACTCACGCATATAACCATAAACCATACAGGATGAGTCTGAAATTTGACCTGCAACCCCGGTCATGATTGCGTGGAGCACAGCACACCCAGCATCATCTCTGTGGCTACTGCACATTTGTAATTCATCACTGAACATCAGTTTCATCCAATCAGCCAAAGTCCACAGTTGCTTCTCTTAAGCCCACTGCAACAGGCTTTTCTTCCAAACACAAGAAATGAGGCTGTTCCAGATCACGGTCACTGCTACAGTTTTCTTGTGTTGCACATGCACCTTTTGGTCTTGTGATAAAGTGATTTGATTAGATGACCACGCAGTGCAGCGGCCACTGGTGTAAACAAATGTCCAGAATGTCCAGTGTGTGTAAGAACTGTATGTGTGGGTCTGTACTGTGTGGTGTGTGATTGAGAGACCGTATCGCCTGCGGGAAGAAGCTCCTCCTCAGTCTCTCTGTGTTGGTCTTCAGGGAGCGGAATCGCTTTCCTGACCTCAGCAGAGAGAACAGTCTGTTGTTGGGATGGCTGAGTCCTTCACCATCTTCCTGGCCTTGGTCCAGCACCGCCTGCTGTAGATTGAGTGCAGGTCAGGGAGCTCGGAGCGGATGGTGCGCTCAGCTGACCGCACAACCCTCTGTAGAGCTCGTCTGTCCTGCATGGTGCTGTTCCCGAACCAGGTTGAGATGTTTCCCGCCAGGATGCTCTCTATTGCCTTTTTCACCACGGTGTTGATGTGACAGGACCACGACAGGTCATATCCATTTCTTTTTGTTATGCGTTTTCTTTTTCCAGGGCATGATGCCTTGAATTTTCTGATGTTGGTCATCATCTTGGTCCACAGCATGTTTTCCTTTCATAACCTTCCCATCTGGTTTGTACTTGTTCTGAGTCAGCTGTGTGTAAAATGTTAAGCAACTATGTTGGATTCCTCCTTGAAGCAGCTGCATAATCCTTTTTATTGCTACACAGGAATTTCCAAAAAATATTACATGTGATTGTTGTTTGATATTAAACTGCTTTAAATCATCTGAACTTTGGCTGACAGGTCTTTATGGGGTTACCAGTCCTACGGGGTTTTTATAACACAACCACAGCCCCTTTCTTTACAGGCACGATGTTAATACGTGCATGCCAAAGGTACTCACCCTGAAGAGGAGGTGAGGCTTGACTGTGACGCGGACTTTCTTGGTGCTCTTCTTCACCTAAGTCAGCGAGAGCAAGGCAGGAATGGAGAAGGTACAGAGGGAGAGGCGTGTGAATGGAAATACAGTGAATACACAAAGAACTTCTGACTTCTGAAGTCTGTAGCTGTCACCTTGGTCTTCTCCACTGCTTCCTCGATCCTCTCCACGATTGCAGCATCCAGCACTTGGAGGTCACAGGATGCCCTACTGATGGAGCTGACTGGGTGACTTTTTAACCATGAAGTGATTTCTGCTACCTTCTCTGCCCTGTTGGGTTAAAAAAAAAAAAAAAAAAAAAAAAAAGTCATTTAGTCATTCATTTATTTAATCTTTGACAACCCCTGGCTCTAAACTCCTCGTCATCACCGGCGGGTGAAGCTTTATGCTGAGAACTTTTACCCTTACTAACCAAAGGTGATCCAGCTGACAAATGAGACACCAAGTGAGAACATATCAGGCACGATGGTGCTTTAAAGCATCCCCTTTTTTTTTTTTTTTTTTACTCTCATGGATATCAAAAGATAAAGATGAACTTCATAGTTTATTCAGTGTGAATTTAAACTAGAAATGTATTTTGAAAGAGGACAATTTCACACAGACTTCTATAAGTGCTTCTTTATGTAGCTAGAGATGTCGCCACCTGATGGCCACAAGAATGAATACAGCTTTTAGACACCTCAGCATCAGCTACACTTTTAAGACCTGTAAGCTACGTCCATCTTTTATATACATCTATGATCCCTAAACAAGTTTTTTTCCCAGCAGGATTGAGTGAACGCAACCTTGGCAGGGGACTAAGTAAGGCCAGGGCCCACATGGCTGAAGCGTCCGTTTTACCCATTCTGGTCTTCTCCAGGCCAAATGTCATCTTCATAGAAAACATCATCGTGACTGTTTCTGGCCACTTTGTTGAATACCTCTGAAAATCTACAAAGAAACACAACCGCACCGTCATTTGTAAAAGCTTCATTCAATTCATAGGATAACCGAACATTAATACATAAGTTAAAGAACAGCGGTTTTCAAAACGACTCATTTGTTTTACCTGTCCAGGTATTCAGCCAGCAGCTCCTCCACAGCAGCAGAGTAGAGCCACTCTTTTTCAGTTCTCTTGGTGTATCCGGGAACTTCCTCGTTCTTCTTGTTGAACTTGAGGTTCAGGCCAACGTTAGCTCTTTGCTCCCCACAGGGACTGGACACAGTGAAGAAGACTGAAAGCTTAGACAAGGACTGTACCTGAATACGTGACGTGATGCCAACAACAGCTCAACTCACTGCAGATATCCTTTTGGCATTTCTACATAAACACTCACTTCTTCTTAGAGCCTCTACCAATGAAGATGCTTCCAGAGAAGCGGGAGACGAGGTAACCGGTGATGCCGAGACGAGAGGCCAGAACGTATCCAGGACTGTATTTCACGCTGTATTTCTACACGACACACAAAAACGTATAAGGTGAGGGGAGAAAACTCGCAAAACGAAACGTACATATCCACAGAACGACTCCACGAGCTCGTCTTACGTGTTGGTTCTGGATTAAGGGCTCCAGCTGTGGCTCATGTGGCACACTGAAGACCACTCGAATCCGCCCATCTTTGATGACATCTTGGGAATCTTGCACCTGAAAATTTATATTAATATGAATATGGAGATGTGGAGCATTAATCAGATAGACTTTTTAAAAAATGGCTGGATTTCTATACCTGCCATGGTAATTAAGAGACGGTGTGTTTCAGGTCAATTTACAGAGTAACATGAAAGTAAAGTAATGAGTAGTGTAAGAAATTACTTTCTCCTGGGAGAAATTACCGTAATTGTCGGGCTATAAGCCGCTACTTTTTGCACCAGCTTTGAACCCTGCGGCTTTTAGTCAGGTGCGGCTTTTCTATGGATTGTCCGTGATTGTTGTCATATCGTAAGACGCTTTGTTTTGTTTGTTCCGCTGTTGTACGGCACTACGTTGCCTGGCGGAAGGGCATGTGATCAGACACACAGTATCGGGGTTCAAGACTGGTATGTTGGTCACGTGTCCATCCGCCAGGCAACATAGTGCCGTACAAGTAGCGCGAAAAACAAACTTCAAAGTAGCGCTACGCGTTTAGCGGGAGGCGTGGATGATGAGCGGCGATAAACTTGCAAGTTATGCCCAAAAAGCAAGTTATGCCCAACTCCACCGGTGGATTCTGACAGCGTGGAAAAGTGTGAAAACATCCACGATCACCAACGGATTTCAAAGGGCTGGACTGCTGCATGATGGAGAGGAGGACACCGCCACGGCCCTTCTGAGGGTGTTCGACTCTGACAACGAGGATTTCTTTGGTTTTGAAAGTGACAACGAAGGAGAGAAGCTGAGAGTGGATGACGAAGCCATCCTGAGCTTGTTTGTATCCGACACTGGAGAAGAGGACTTTGGTGGTTTTAGTGCGCAGGAAGAAGAGAAAGATGGTGGTGAATGACTGACTTTTCTTCTTGTTAAAGCTGTGACACTGCACCTGAGCCTAAAAGGTAGTCCGAATCTATTTTTCTGGTTACTGTTATGTACTACATGTGCAAATATGTACCCATAACTTGTTTTTCAAAATATTAATAAAAGTGATGTCTCCAAACAGCCATCTCTTTCCTGACAATTCCCTTTGTGCATATTCTCTTACATATGATGAGTCAACATTGAAACACCTGCGGCTTTTGGTCAGGTGCGGCTAATGTATGTACAAAACAGGATTTTCCCCTGATTTTAGCTTGTGCGGCTAATATTCAGGTGCGCTCTGTAGTCCGGGAAATACGGTAAGTAACATAATGCATTACCTGTAAGAAAAGGGTTCTGTGTATAATGAGTAATGGCCCCAACACTGATCTCAGCAAAGAGGGGAAATACCTCCAACATGCACAAACATTTGACCCACAGGTCATGAATGCAATGCCTTTGATATGCTGCTTAGTGATGCTGGTGAGTCTCCAAGCTCAGTCAATGAGAATCGATATGAGAACCAATAAGGAACCGAATTGATAATGGAATCACTAAGTTCTTATCAATGTTATGTTCATATTGTTTTGCATTACATCATTAAGCTTAAAACAGAAGGTGTTTTTCACAGATCTGTTCTAAACTATATAAATAAGCCTCTTAATTTTTTTGTCTTTTTCCCCTCAGAGTATGGAAAAAATGATTGTGGAAATCAAACTTATCTGACAGTCGCCGATGATATTAATGCACAGGTGACAGCTCGGGGCACAGTGTTTTGTTTCTTCACTTATATTGAATGTGACAGTGTGAAAACATGGACATTATACTCGGATTCTTGGTTTAAATTAATAAAAAGAGTAACTTGGGTAACGAGGGAGTAATCCACAGACTAAGAGAGCAAACAGTGGATAACATACCTCTCCCATGGCACCGTAGTACGGGTTTCCCACCATGAAGACGGTTGTTGTTGGAGGAAAGAGCTCATCTAAGCTCTTGAAGCAGGCCAGAGATGAGCAGAAGGCTTTGATATCCTGAGACCATGAAGATAAGGAAGAAGTGTCTTTATAATAATATCTATAAACACTTAAAAAAGAAAAAAAAGGTGATAAAATCAAAACCATGTGCAGTAAACTTAAATTTGCCTAAAACTACTCTGACAATAACCAGAAAGAAACTGAAAGCATGTGATGGGTTTATTTCAGGGTTTAGTTTCATTAATATGGCTGCACTCCTCAGCTTAAGCAGGTTTTCTTCTATTTTCCTGCAGCATGAAGACCCTGCTGAGAAACACCACAGCCTCAGTGACATATACACTGCTATAAGAGTCTTTCACCCATTATTCTCAGTTTTCTTCTCGCTATCATGTTTGTGTGCAGGTACCTTAACAACCGCCTGGTAGGCAAAGGGGAGGACCTGTTTGGCCCACTGTTTCTCCAGTTCCACCACACCATTGGCTTTGGGAACGTATTTTCTTCCAGTCAGCAGTTGGCCGTATAAAACCACCTCTGTCTCATTTATCACGATGCCTTTCCTCTTCAAATAACTACGGGAAAGAAAAGCATAAATAACTAAAGAAGCCAAAGAATATGATGGTTCTTGCAAAGAACAGAAGGATTGTTTCAATAATATGAAAGAGTAGAAATGACTGAAGATGCATACAAACTCAAACACTTGCATTATTTTGCTGAGTTTCTTACTATTCAGTGATTCCTTGGACATCCTTAATCCAGTCCTTCTGCTCCTTGTCAGACAGACAGGTGACTTTGGCGGGAGGAGGAGTGCTCGGCCTGTCATACACTCTTTGGACACCCGGTGGTTCCTCAAGATAAAATCTTCAGAACAAGTTGCAAAAATTCACTTGTAAAGTCACTAAAGTCTCAACATAATATTTTCAGATTTTTCAGTTTCAGATTTTTCTACACATCTACCAGAAAAGTCAGCAGTCATAGCAAAGCCAGCTCTTACTTCGTTTCTCCGTCTGACACTGCAATGATGCGAGCTTCCTCTAGATGAGGCCAGTTGACAAACACAGACTTTCCCAGAACTTGTGCAGCAACATCATCACATGTCTGAAGATAATGACAAGAAAGAAGGAGAGAGGCAGAGACACAGAGGATAAGGCAACTGCCAATGTTCCTAGAATAAGACCAAGAGGTGACTGGGTGTAAAACATATTTTATGCAGTTCTTTTAATTGTATAGACAGTGATTCAAAGACTTCCAAGGGACAATTGATCAGTTCTTAATAATAAAGTGTTGAAGCTTTATTAAACTAGATCTAAAAACATAAACAAAAGCTCACCGTTTCCCCTTCCTGGTTGGGGAGGATATCCAGCAACATGTTCTCCCCTCTGCTACTCTGCTGGAACACGACCACCCCGCCTTTCTTCTTGTAAAACTGAAACGACAGTGAAGGAGCCAGAGCATGAGAGTTTGAGAAAGGGAGATCATCTTATAAAGACTGCTGAATTTACTCAACTTGCTATACTTCTTTTTTCTTCTTCTTAAATTGGCAGAATTAATTTCAGATTCATACGTTGGCTGTGAGTTAAGACGTATTTAACCAGGTTCGCTCTAACTTTGAACAGTTTAGTAGTAGTTCAGTTATGCACATGCCCACCTTGTGTTTGATGTGTTGTAAGGTGGGAAAGCCACAGAAGTACAGAGCTGAGCGGTCAACGGGCTTGCTGACGTGATCTAATGAAACTTGCCAAGCATCCATGGGGATGTGCGCTGTCCTGTGATGATCAACCACAAAAGGCAATCAGCCACAGACAAATATGACTGTTGAATTTCACCTCAGTAGGACCAAACGCATGAGTTGTTTTCAGAAACAATGAGGATCGTTAAATGCATCTACCTGACGTGGCAGTGGACGATGTCGGGGAACAGTTGAGGCAGGGGGGAGGCGTAGGCGAAGTCCATTTCCCTGTCGTACGAGTAGACTGCACACTCTGTGTGGCAGTTCCTGGCCTTCTCTTCTTTTGTCAGCTTCCTGTTGCAGGCCTCCATGGCTGCTAATAAGCACCTCTGTTCGATACACACACAACATAAAGTTACACACAGTTACAAGTTGTCAAATTTGATTTCGACAACAGACCTGTGGCATTTCTTCATTTCGAATTGTGTGTTTACCTCATCTATGAATGGAATGAGCACCACAGCCTCCCACTCCTGCTGCTTGCCATTCAGGTCAGTTTTAAAGTCAAGAGGGTAGTACTCAATAATAGCTGAACTTTCACTAGTCATCAGATGCTGAAACATAACAAAATACAGTATTACGATCCCCTGTATACTTCCTGTCCTAATGTTAAAACGATTTCTATATTAAATTATATCTTTATTTCTTAGAGTACATCTTGTGCATTTTATATGAGTGAACTTGGATTTGCATTTGTTACCCTGTAACACTCGGGCAGCAGTTCCATGCTGGCAGCAGGCAGGACTGCCAACAGCTGCTGGAAGGGCATGAAGGGCTGTCCATGCTCAAAGGTCAGCTTTAACCCAGATACATTCCTGATGTCTGACAGGTAGGGAGCGTAGTGGTAGGGGTAGTACCTGCAGAGATAACACATAATACTCAACGACTGCTTTAAAAATGGAGCGCCTTCAATATAGAGGTTTAAAGAAGGAAATCATTTACTTATTGTTCTTCTCCCCAAAGCAAATCAATCCACTTTTTCTGTGAAATAACTTTCATTAGACAGTAAAAGGTTCAGAAACCCTGCAGCCCTCATTAAAGCCTGCTGTGTAGAAATATGTCGAAATTTGAGCCTCTCTTTCAGTCCTCCCACATTTCTGTGAGACTGTTAATGAGCTGAATTCTCCAATAACAGAAAGAGAAAGATCAGGGAGTAAATTACACAGAAGAAAGAAGCACTCACCAGCTCCAGGACTGAACTCCATGGTAATAGTAGTGGAGAATCCACTGGATACCTTCCACATAACACTTGGCTTGGTTGGCTAGAAACTCACTGCAAAAGGAAGAGTGAAAACATAGTTACAAAGTGCAAGCTGCTGTGATGAAGGGCACTGTTAACATTTAACATTTAGCCAAGTCACTTCCCTACCAATGGGATCATTTAAAAAAGGAAACTAGTAAAAGGGCATCACACTGCTGGGAAACAGCAACACACACGCACACAGACAGACACACAAGCATGTCTATTCTAACTGCTGATAAGGGAGAAAAACAGATTTTGCCAGTCTTAATAGTTTTACCCTTTAAAAGGTAGGTAAAGGCTGCTGTATAACATCTTAAAGTGCACCTATTATGATGTTGATTTTTCGGTCATAGATGAGCATTGTTCCAATGGTGGACGCCTGAACCCTGTGAGCCAAAAGCTCCAAGTCCAAGAACAATGTTTACCCTTTAATATTTGGTGGACCTGTTCCCAGCAGTTATGATCACCATATTATTTGTGGTTAAACTAAATGATCTGCTGCAGCTTTGTGATCCCGTGTGTTCATCGTTAAGTCAAGAGCACAGTGTTTCGCTATACTCGGATGTTGATTCATTACATAAGTGATGTGACTAACACACAATGTGTTTATGAATACATTCCATTCCACCCGGCCTGTTGCCACTTGGTCTTGCTGCACCTAGAGCAAAACACAATAGCAGGTGCACTTAGAGACACCAATACAACCTCGTGCCAAGCCTTTGCATGATAAAACAGAGCCTGTTATCTTTGTTCCCAACCTGCTGACCAATCATTTATCTGCGTTATTGAACACTGGTCATTCTAACTTCACTCTGTCTCAGCCAGTCACTGAACGAAGATACAACAAACAAAGAGGTGAAGTGAAACTAAGAGTTAAAGCAATGAAAAGTGTCAAACTTCTGTCCCAAACATTTTTAGCTTTCTTCTTCCCATAATTTGCTTTTTGTATGCGTTTGTATAAGTTCACTCACTCAGACACCACGTCCACGCCGATCTTGCTCATGTAGTATGTGCGTTTGTACTGTCTGAACTCTGTTTCAAAGATATCATCCTCCTCCTCTTCATCATCTGCTGCCGCTGCTTTTTCCTCTCCGGTGACTTTCTCTGATGTAGTCAGGGAAGCCAGACAGAGAGCAGAATCCTACAGATTTTTTTTTTTTTTAAAAAGTCAATCACTGGAAAGAAACAGACATGAAAACAATGCTGAAAGACACAATGCATATTTTCAGTGCTGCGTCCCTACCTCGTTCTTTCTGGCGTCTTTGCTGGCAGCTTCCTTCTCAGCTGCCAGTCCAGCAGCTTCATTCAGATATTTGTTACCAACTTTGCTTTCAAACCACTTCAAATCCACAAAGACCTCATTAAAATGTTCCCGGTCAAACTGGCAAGACATGGGGGGGAAAAAGAAAAAAAAAAAGTACATTTTGGCAGAATACATTTGTTTCATAGCAAACGACATCAATCAGTATATGGGACTTGATCGTAAAATGAATGACCCTTAAATAGAAACTAGTGTCTCACCTCAGCAAGCTTCTCCAGGTATTTCTCAAAGTTTCTGAGGTTTAGGTGACCGTTCTCATTCAGATAACCTAAAATAAACACGGGGACATTATGTTATATATGTGAATGACAATAAACAAGTGTGACATGAATGTTTCTCTATATTGTACTGGTTGACAATTCTAAACTATCTGGGCCAGCTGGACAAGCACAGCACATGGAACAAACAAAAAAACAGCAGATTTTGTGTATGAGAGGCTTTCAAATTCTGAATAAATGCTCAAAAAATACATCCCTGCTGCATCAGTTCTTTTTCTGGGGGGGGGGACTTTGTCACATGATAAAGTTGGAGCCGCCAGAACCAGGCTCAGGGTAATTCTGCCAGCTTCACGTTTAAAAGGTTTCTTCCTGTTCAAAGGGAGTTTTTCCTTCCCACTTGGTCATAGGGGGTCAGCTGATTGTTGGGCTTTTCTCTGTATAATTGTTGTGTCTTTAGCTTACAGTATAAAGTGCACCTTGAGTCAACTGTGGTGCAATAGGCAAGGCAAGTTTATTGATATAGCACAATTCAACAGCAAGGTGATTCAAAGTGCTTTACAGAGACATTAAAAAACAAAAACAAATAAAAAGCATGATTTAAAATTGATTAAAAAAATTTTTTTTTTTTAAAAATCAGTAGTTAAAATGTAAGTTTTGAAATTTAAGCTTAAAAGTGTGGATTTGGTGCTTTATTCAAATGCAGCTGAGAACAGGTTCAACCTGGATTTAAATAAACTGAGTGTTTCAGCTGATCTGAGGCTTTCTGGGAGTTTGTTCCAGATATAAGGAGCATAAAAGCTGAATGCAGCTTCTCCGTGTCTGGTTCTGACTCTGGGAACTGATAAAAGACCGGATCCAGATGACCTGAGGGATCTGGAAGGTTCATACTGGGTCAGGAGGTCACTGATGTATTTTGGTCCTAAACCATTCAGAGCTTTATAGGCCAGCATCAGAACTTTAAAGTCTATCCTCTGACGGACAGGCAGCCAGTGTAAAGACCTCAGAGCTGGACTGATGTGGTCCACTTTTTTGGTCTTAGTGAGGACTCGAGCAGCAGAGTTCTGAATGAGCTGTAGTTGTCTGACTGATTTTTTAGGTAGACCTGTAAAGATGCTGTTACAGTAATCAAGCCTACTAAAGATGAATGCATGGACTAGTTTTTCCAGGTCCTGTTGAGACATCAGATCTTTTATCCTTGAAATATTCTTGAGGTGATAGTAAGCTGACTTTGTTATTGTCTTAATGTGTTTTTCTAAGTTTAGGTCTGCATCCATCACTACACCCACATTTCTCGCCTGGTTTGTGGTTTTTAGATGTATAGATTGAAGTTCTCTGGTGACCTGTAATCGTTTTTCTTTGGCGCCAAAGACTATTACCTCAGTTTTGTTTTTGTTTATCTGGAGAAAATTGTGGCACAACATTCAATTAAATTATAGAGATACAATTTAATTGAACTCAATAGAATATACATGAATACAGCATGGTGGCTTTCTTTTTTTTGCATTTCTGCTGTATTTCATCTTTTTCGCTGAGTGTGTGTTCAAAAATAAATAAATATTTTTCATGCTTTTGAAATCCAAATTTGTTTAGACTACAGTTCGTTACAGGGGACAAAGCGAAGTCCTAAAGAGTAAACCACTAAAAGGATACAGTGTATGCATCTGTCTCACCAATAGATGATTTCGTCAAATGTTGCAACACAACAAGCATGAAGAAACCTCACTGCACATGTTGCAATCCACTATAATTATTATGGAATCAAATAAGCCTAAGCTAAACACTTTGAAACATTTAAAACTGAATTGAAATGTTTGGTTCCAACAGAAATGACACTGAAAACCAAACTGAAAGAAGAAACTAAAACTAAAAACTGAGGAAAAACACAAGATACGAGTCTGGTCTTACCCCCCAGGCTTGGTAGTACACTCATGTACGTCTTGTACAGCAACGGTAGAGCGTCATGATTGATGTGAAGGTTGGGGAGGTGAGGGATGAAATCGTTTCCTACCAGGAAACCCATTAGAATCCAGTCATCTATTACTCGCTCCAGGTCATAATCGGAACCCATCTTATTCTGAAAAAAGAGGCACAAACATTTAGACGTCATACAATACAATTTAAAAAGCATATATTAAAAATTTATCATAATATGAAATCTCGCCTGGCATTTAAAAGCTGCCCACTTTAGGCACGCTTGTCTCACCTTGAGCTCAGAGAACTCGTAGTCGATATACTCTCTCATCAGAGACAAGTGAAGCAAGTGAAAAGTGGTCTCCTCTGGAGCTGTTATCCTGAAATGGAACAAAAGAGCAGGGTTCACAAAACAATGCAGCAAAACAAAGAGAGACAAAGAAGACAAAGAAGAGAAGAAGAGAAGAACCTCTTCTGGGATTTCTTCCCTCCAAAGCGGACTTCCTCCCTGAGCAGAGCGAAGTTTGGCTCGTGGCTGGTCAAACCCAACATAATCTACAACACAGAGTGAAGGACAGACTGAACCTTCAGGCACTGATTTGAGCAAAATGTTCATCAACGATCTGTTTAAACGTACCAGGTCAGCATCCAGGCCGTACAGGCAGTGTCGCGTGTTGGGGTCATGATTGGGCTTGGTGTTCTCTGACCGAATAAACTCCATGATTTTGTGTTCCCCCTCCCCTGGTGTCTGTAAAGAGAAGAAACACAAACTTAATACATTCATTACTGACTCAGAAACAGTACAAAAGTACATACAACAGTTACACATACACCACTCACACCCACCTCGTGACCGGACAAGTACACTTTGACATTCTCCCATAGCTTGTCATTGGAGAGCTTGTTGTGGACGAAATACTTGAGCTGTTCCTGAAGTCGCACCATGAACTCAGTGCCTGGAAGAAGGATTTGAGATTAAAAGAACGGCTAACATTTTCAGAGACCTGTTCTCTGTATATCTCTTAAGGATCCAAGAAGAACTGAGCAACCCAAGTGTTTTCAGCTGCTCAGTTCTGCTTTCCCAAGGGGTCGCTACACCAGACAGATCTGCATATTTAATTTGACAGAGTTTGAAACAGGACCCTTACAGTTAATCCAGGCTCAAGACTAACAGAAGAGGTACATAGGCTGGGTTTTGTCCTCCTTGTGTTGAAATGGGAAATCTGTCTTATATAACGCCTGATTTAAACTTCTGCAGGGAATCTTCATAGAGCCTACAAAGTAGGCTACGTAACTTGCCAGTGTAGCTGTCGGTATGCCGTTCCACACATTTATACCCGTCCTGGTTCGTCATGTGTTAAACACAGTGTGGTAGTATCCTGGTGTTTTAAACGCAGTGCCAATCGATAGAAACAAATAAGATTCTGGATTCTGTTTTCCCCCTCCTGGGTCTCCACTCTTTGCTTCTGGCACTTTTCTCTTTTTATCCTGGGATAAATATATTTGTCCCACAAGGTTTTCCACTTCTTTGTACATTCCCTCACATCCACTCCTTGGGAAAATATTACATCTCTGCCATGACCTATTCGCTAATGAAAAACGAGTCACTGGATGTTTACATCTGACATGCAAACATGTTTTTAATAAAAATATCACATACAGTACACATATAAAAAACACAGGGACACAAAAATAAATTCAGGTGCTAAACTGTATCAGGTGGTTCTGATCTGTGTCTGTGTGCTGAGCATCTTTGCATGAAGCTTTAGATCTTCCTTACCAGGAGTGATGCAGTTGGAGTCGAAGCGAGCCTCTGTGGGAAGCACCTCTCCTTTATCCAAAGCTTTTTTTATCTTTTCCTCTGCTTCTTTGGCGGACCTAGACACACAGACACCCACACACAAGCACACACCCACAAGTAGATATAAAAGAGAGAAGGTCAAATTCAAAGTCTCAGGCTGTGTCTCTGCCTGCAGGCTGTGTTTTCCCTCCTGTCTGTAACACTGAAGCACGAAATGTTGGATTTTAGCTCAAGCCTGTTTGCTGCTCATTCTTCCTTATAAGGTAACTCACATAGGGCTCAGGTTTACAGCTGCAGCCTCAGAAACATCACATAATTATACCCAACATCTCTAAATATATCTGAGAACAGACATGACACTTTAATCAGATAACTTAGAGAGAACGTGGCATTATTTATAGTTTGTATTCAACATCAGGGTACAGGCATGCTAATAAAATTCCATCTCTTTATTTGGTCAGTTCAAGAAAAGCTACTCCCAATATCCTAAATTTAGTGATTCTCAACAGTATTATGATAGGATTAGCATTTATTCATTTAGATTTATTCATCCATCACAACCTGAATCTACGTCCTCTCTGCTGGTTCATCTTCGCCCTTGGCGCCACACCATCCACCGCCATGAAGAAAACCTTGCGAGGCTTGATGATCCTGAAGAGCACCTCCAGGTAATGGAAGATGTCTGCAAAAATCTTTTCCTCAGAAATGCGAAAGTGGACATCCTCATCGTTTGGGTGAGAACACTGGTGGATGATGCCGTTCATGTCCAGATAGAAGTTGTCAAACTCTGGAATCTGACAAAGACAAACTGATCACATACCTAGTACATTCAGGAACATGACTTATCTGTAAACGCTCACAATGACAAGATCTTTCAGGTGTGGCAGATGTTTTTAGGAGGCTGATGAGTTAAAGGAGGGTATATTTGACAGTCAAAAAAACATGATAGTAAGCTCCTTTCACCTGACACATTAAAAACAGTCTCATGAGTATGCCATCCACCTTTCATAACATCAGACCTTTATGTTTTGTTCCGTTTTATTTACACCGGTACCGACATGAAACATAATTCCCATATTTACTGCTACCAATTTTCTGCTAAAGGTGGTTATTTACTGCTTTAATACAAATGCAAAGCTGTCTGAGGTAAGGAGGGTGACACTGAACAATGTGCGCTGATGAAACTACTGCTGGGGGAGTGAAATAGCGGCTTCCTTTCTGCTCAGAGTGTAGAAAGTGGTTCAAGTCCCCCCGCAGTTACTCAAGTAGCCTAAACTCTCACGTTATTCGAGCTGTGGCCAACAGGCTGAGCTCATACTTCTGACATTTCAAACAAGTTCATTGTAAAGCGCAGTTACTGTTAACCAGCTGGTAACAATAACTACCCGAGCCCCTATAGATCTCTAGTTTTCATAAAAATCAGTTAGTTAGCCAACTGCAAGAGCTTATTGTTGTTTAGAATGTTCCTGACCAACAAAGGCCAAAATTACCCAGTGGTAACTCATTAACATTTTACTTGTTTAGTGCGAATAAGCGCACAATGGAGACCAAAATAGCATATTAGTGATGGAATTTGGTTAATAACGTCATGCCTATCCTGTGTTTAGCAAAAGGATGAAGTGAAGAATGTGTGCTAAAAGCAGAGTTGTCCATTCGCCAGAAATCCATTGGTAAGCTACGTGGAATTTTAGTTCCGCGGCCCGCTATAGCTCTCTGATAGCGAACAGCTAGCTACGCTAGCACTGTGGCTACCAATGACAGCGGTCTGTGAAGCTAACCAGTCACCGCTGTTTTCCTACCTGATGTTCCTTGACAACTTCACTGAGACAAGGGTAGCGTTCCGAAATCCAGCGGTAAAATTTTGGCACTCCCATCTTCACCACAAACCTCTTCAGCCTCTAGGTCAAAACAGTAAACAGCAAAAACTGGATGGAGGTGTTCGCCTATGTGAGGAACTACAATGTAGCTGGGGTATAACCTGGTAACATGAGAACTTGCTTTAGACTCAGGTTTTGTTTCCAACGGCTGCTAAGTAGCTGGTTGTCCGTTGTCCGCCGGAAAAATCGTTCCGCCGCTTTTCGAGAAAACATTTGTTCCGTTTTTTGTATTTTTTTGGTGTTTGTTTACTTGCTTTCTTTTTGACATCTCATAAGTACATAGTACAACGTAATGCATATTTCTACGTAGAAAATATTTAAAATAAATAAGCCAAAACATTTTTACAAAATGTTGTATTAAACGTAAATTTGTTGTTTGCTAGAAAATAACTTTGTAATAAATGTTATATAATATTTATTACAAAAGTGAGTAAATGGTTGTTTTTTGTTTTTTATAGAGGTTGAGTTACCCCAAAACATCAAGTTTTTGAAAACAGCCTACTTAACATCTGAATCCAGAAATATCAGGAATCTTATACAATTTCCAAGATAACTAAGGGTGCCTATATTAAATATGAACTGGGCTGGGAAGTAGGAACAGTGTGTGCTGTGTCATTCTGAATCTAATAGGAACTGAAAAATCAGATCAACTGATATGAAAGAAAGAACACACTGTTACAGGGCCCGTCTGGCTTGCAAGGCCCACTGCAAAGCCTGAAATGAAGAACTAGTTTCCCCTCAGCAAGACAGTTCCACATTTCCACCTAATGTACAACTTTGCCTTTTCTATGATGCTGAATATAACTTTCATAAGGTTTGCAGAGGTAGATTAGACCTACTTGAAATTTGTTTACTCAAAACCTCAAATCTGAATGTATGCTGCCCAAACTGAGCAGTCAGTTTTTGAGTTTTAACAGAAAAATGCAGGCCAGCACAGTATACACTATACGAAACCATGAAATCTGAACAGACAGTCCCACCTGATGGCTGTAGCTCAGGAGGTAGAGAGGGTCAACTATTAATTGGAAGGCTGGTGGTTCAATCTCTGGCTGCATCCTTGGGCAAAATACTAACCCCAAGGTGCATGTAAATTTGACATAGAATGAAGTATCTGGATGAATGAAGCATGTTGTACAAAACACTTTGAGTGATCAGATAGAATAGAAAAAGTGCTATATAAGAACCAGTCTATTTACCCGAGCCTCTTTGAAACAGCTTTTTTCTTTTGTCGCCCTAATTTATTAAAAAAAAAAAAAAAAAAAAAAAGATGCAAAGCCCCATGCTGTAAATGCTTATTTTATAGGACACCAAGGAGAGCGCAATTTTTCAAGGGAATTTAAACAAGAGTTTAAGGGTGCCATTGCATCGATGGCATCTGGAGGAGGACTACAGTGTCCCGAGTCCCAGCACTGACTGAAAAAGCACCTTGTCCATAACCAAGAACGTTTCTTGCAATTCCGATCAACTAACCCATCACAGTTTTATACACAGATCACCTAAAAGAATACAATTATGTCATCATATGGAGAGAGAGAAAAAAAAAGAACCAACATGCCAAGTGTTTCGAAATAATTTATTCAGTAATACAAATACAAAACACCTCTCTCACTTATCATAAAATAGGCAGGTCTTGCTCCACAGAAACTGACAGCAGTTTGCCTGAAGTTACAATGCAGCTCAGCTCAGATGATACCTACAGTATGTGAAGAACGATTCCATTGCTACTTTAAAAGAACAGATTCTGCAAGGTTTTATTTCCAACAAGCAACCAATAGTTCACCCAAAAAAAAAAAAAGTCCAGTTCTGCACGACACTGCAGACCAGTGCCGGAAGTTACATGAGAGTTGTGATTGCAGACAAAAGCTTTGAGTTTCGTTTTGTTCTGACGGTAAACAGAAATATCAGTACAGAGAGGCGCTTCTCATTTCAGTTCACTCAACTTCTCACGTTCTGCACTCGCAAACCAGAAAAGAAACCAGTGATACGTCTGACAGGATGGAATTCAAGTCAGGTTTATTAAAAATGTTTTTCCCCCCCAAATCTGAGAGAACGCAAAAGCTACACAAAAAAGAAAGGTGCAGGGGGCTGGACACTGACAAACAAAAGGAGATTTAAAAGCTTCATTTGAAGATTTTTGCATGTCACTTCGTCTTGTGCTTTGGCCTTTAAAAGGAGGAAATGCATCGCACTTTTAGCGTTTGGCTGGATGTATTCCGGAGAACAGCAGCTTAATTAAAAAGTAAAGGTTTTGATTTGACCTAAAACCATAAAGAGGTGTTCTATTGTAGCCAATAAAACCTCGCTCAAAAGAAACAAAACTGCTTTCTAAAGTCTCTTGTTTCACTTTGTGCCCAATAAAACAGCAGCACATCTTCTCCTGCTGGTCCATAGTCTTTGCCGCTGTCCAAAAACATAAGCTCATAAAAAAAAAAGTAAAGAAAAAGAGGAAAAAAATAATAAGAGACAATTTCAGATCTCCAGTTGCTACTCAGCCTGGCAGCCTCCCTGCATCACGAGTCAAAGCTCCAACACCCGCTGAAGGAACTGCACGTCTTCAGACGAGCTCGAGTACCTGTGCAGAGAGAACGCACACCTGTGACCTCTTGTTGTTACGGGAAAAAGCAATGAATTAAAGCTCCTCTCCAACAGCTAAATAATAATAAAACGACAAAAGGCAGAAACCACAAAAATAATTAACATATAGCAGTTGGACTGTATAACGAGGCATTTTTAAAAGGGTCAAAAGTTCACCCAGACTAGCGTGGCACATCACTAATGCAGAGCTGAAATCACTGCTACCACACTGCACAGTTCATCAAAATATTACAAAAATAATTTCTTTAGATATATTTTGTGTGTGTACTTTGATTCCAAACAGAAGCCAGTGAGGTGACATTTGGACTTCAAGAGTGGAAGATTAAACAGGATTACACAGCAGACAAGCAGGCTTGAATTGGATCAGATGCACAAGGATTTATCTTTATTTGTGAGCGTGTTTAAACAGTTATTCCTAATTCATCCTGGGATATTGCCAGGAATGTGTCTTATGGAGAATCTTAAAGAAATTTGACATTTCTGGTTCAAATTGTCAGTGAGCGTCTACAGCCATCTGCAGAGCACAAAATGAATGCAACAATGAACACAGCAAAACACGACAATATAAACACCAGATCTATATATCCAATCGGATTTTTTGTTTTATTCATGTTTTATTAGTGTTTGGCTTCACACTTTTGTATCCTGATCGCGCTCTTACAAAAGTTTTTTTCCTCAGACGGCCTCATTAAAATACCAGAAATGAGTCAACTAAAAGGACAGAACATGATTACAATGTAAATGTCATGTTTTCAAACAAAGGTCCAGTACCCTCTATGACACCAGTCTGAGTGCTGCAGTAGGCCTGTGCTTGTTGGCGTGTTTTGTACAGATGATACAAACCTTAATTGTTCCTTGACTGTTGGCAGCGATTAATACATTTGACTCCTGAAAAACAAAAGGTAACACTTAGAGCACAGATAGTTAATTACCTGTAGATTAATACTCAACACTTTAACTGTGTGATCTGAAAACAACAATCCTTTGCAAGAAAGTGTGAGAAACTCCAGCTGTATTCTTTCTCAGAGTGTCAGGATTTTAAAGTGTGACTGACACCGTCTCAGTTCTATGACCGCAAACTATGGGTGTGGTGTCCCAACAAAGCAGGCTCTTTGGGTTAGCTGGCTCAACAAAACCTACAACTACACTCACAGATGAAGGCGGGGCAGGGGTAGGCAACTCCAGGCCTCGAGGGCCGGTGTCCTGCAGGTTTTAGATGTGTCCTTGATCCAACACAGCTGATTCAAATGGCTAAATGACCTCCTCAACATGTCTTGAAGTTCTCCAGAGGCCTGGTAATGAACTAATCATTTGATTCAGGTGTGTTGACCCAGGGTGAGATCTAAAACCTGCAGGACACCGGCCTTCAAAGGCCTGGAGTTGCCCACCCCTGGCCTAAGGGTACAACCCCCAACTAGGTTTTGCAACCTTTGGTTTTAGAACTGAAGAAGGCTCTTGGACGAGAGGTGAAATGTCTTCAAAACCTTAAAAAAAGACCAGTCGCCTTCTCATTTCAAGCTCCTAGGACATTTGTTACCATAGTGATCTAACTAAGGAAAAAGAAAGCCACCTTTTTATCTGACTTGACAGACCTCACTAACCCATTAATATCGCTTTGTAGTGCACCCTTCAAAGTGCAGTCAATGACAATGTTACTGAGTATAGAGGTGAGCTCACTCCATCAGGCAGGGCCCTCCAGCAGACAGCACTGACAAACTCGTTGGTGTCGTCCTCCTTCTTATCCTTGTCCAGAACGCTCTTCACTGTGTCAAACTTGAATGTTAACAGTGTCTTGGAAAGTCCTTTGTAGTACAGATACAGGGAGTTGTTCTCACTGCCTGTACACACACACACACACACACACACACGGAATGTAAGCATGTTATCGTTTCTCCCACTGAGGGAGTGATACAACACAGACAATTTGACAATAATGTCTTCTTTGAAGTAACTGCTCACCACAGGCAACGTAGTCTCCGTTTGAGGCCAGGCCCACAAAGTTCTTCTCGTTGATGTGACCCTTGAAGGAGCGCAGGCAGTGAGGTTTGTTGACATTCCACAGCTTCAGCTGACTGTCCGTCGAACTGAGGACAATAGTGCAGAAAGAAATGATCAATATGGAACCGGTGGGCCTTAGATGATATGGCGTGATAACCCACTGGGGCCAAGTCCAGCATTTTCATTTGATCAGGATTCAAGGATCAGGATTTCTACTCTGTGTGTAGAAAGATTCTCCATTGTTCGGCAGCGGTGCTCGTTTCAGTAATTATGCAAATGTCATTGTTATAACTTGTTTCTTAAATCCAGCTTCACAGACAGAGTTACATCCATGTCAGTTTTTGAGGGCTCCACGATGTAAATTAGCCTTTATACATTTAGTGTTTCATGCTCTCTTTAACCCAGTTTACATTAGACAGCTTCTTTATGATATTATAAGCAGAAAGTACACCGTAACAGGTTTTACAGAATATTTTCCTTTGCAGGAAAAAGAAACCTTTCAGATATTAAATGGAAATGCAAAGCCGACAGATGTACTTACGCAGAAACAATTTCCTCTCCGTTGACGAACTTGGCATAGGAGACGGCCTTCCTGTGGCCTTT